TAACCCCATTGTATTTCCTCTTTCTGTCTTTGCATATTTCCAAAGCAACCCAATGCCATCGAACGCATGTGTATCCTACGTGCATTGATCTGGTACTTTAAGTATAGCAAATTTACTCTCTCCACCATTCCAAAATCAAAAACCGTTATGTGTCCCTCTCGATCAAAACCCTAAACCCTAACTGTCGCAATCTATATTTATCAGACATGGACAGAACTTCAAACCTGCTCGACGAAACCCTAGGTCTCGACGACCAAGAGAGTCCTTCTCTGATCTCGTCCGGCCGAGTAGTTCTCGTCAAGGACTACGTGGAAACCAGTGGCGCATTCGTTCTTTATCACCTCATCAAGCGCTCTTTTTCTCCTCACTACTCCTTTGCTTTGTCATCTTCGTGGCCTTCGCCCAACCTTTCTCTCACTACGATCGCATCCTTCGAAAAATGGTACCTCTTTCTATCACCCCACCATTTTTTGTATGTTTGAAAAAAAAGTCTTTTTTCAACTTTTTCATTGATCATTTTGGTGGATTTGGCTTAGATTTTATTTTAGGCTTAGTCAATCAATGATGTTTGTTGGGAAATTTTGGATTTTTGTGGACTATTTAAATTTCAGTGGTATCTGTAATGTCTTGCTCTATATTCTTAAATTTTTGTTACGGCAACAAGGGTTGTTTTGGAGACGTGGTTCTTGTTGTACAGAACTTTTCCATCTCTGTGAATCATTTTACAACAATTACAATCAGTTGATTGGATAGGTAGCTATGTGTTAATTAGAATAATTGTCTCCTGGGCTATTTTGACTTTGGTAAAATGTGTGAGCATTGGCTTGATATGGGTACAAACTCTTGGATGATTATTAAACTTTGAGGAATACAGAGATATTCGGGAAAAAAAATGTATATCTCATAAGATTGAAACCTAAAATTTGTATCTTTATGGCAGCTGTTATCACCCCAGGAAATGATTTTTGAAAATAAGATCCTTATCAATAGAGACAATATAGAAGAAGTTAGTATTTTTTATTTCTAATAATTTGGTAATTATGCTAATGAGATTTTGAGAGCTCAGTGCACAATCACATTACTAGGACATAAAATCGTGGTTCTGATTGGCGTAGCAGCCACATGAATATGTATTTCATAATTTTCATTTCATGAATTTACTATGTCTCTATGGCATGCTTGTATTCGCGCAAGAATCATACAATATGAGGAACAAAGAAATTAACGATCAGAAAATAGGTTGCATCCCAAAATGCACAACATAGTGGTTCTTTTGTGCATTCTCGAAGTAAGTGCATACATGTCCAAATAGGTGTCGGGCACATATCAGCACAGCTTTCATGAGGCAATTATCTGAAATGTTCAATCATGTATGAGAATGATTTAGAAGTATTCTATTCAGCTACATATCACAACTCAATATTTAATCTATCATATTGAATTACCTTTGTTCACCCCTTTTCATAATAATATAATAAGTTGGAAACACTTCAAAACTTGAAGATAATGATACAAGGAAGTGCATGATTTTCATACATAGGGTAGGGTAAAATTATCATTTTATAAAATTTGGTTAACAGATATTCAAGAAAAAAATTGCTAGGGGTGTTGTTGAACATACGCATCAAATCTCAGAGAATGTTAAAATAATAAAAGTTGATCACTCTCTGTATGTAATTTGTCCAAACATCATGTCATTGTAATTTAACCCCTTGTATTTCCCCCGTCTTTGCATATTTCCACAGCAACCCAGTGCCATCGGACACACGTTGATGAGCGCTGAAAAATGCGTATTTAAACCCCTTAAGTTTAGGCATTCTAATACCTTTATCTATCTTACTTTACCGTTTTAGATTGATTTCATATTGTTTCCATTTTCAGGCACTTATCCCGAAAATAAGCTAACTCATCCAAATAAGAGCAGAAATGGAGCAATTCTGGGATAAATCAAAGAAAGGAGCCAAGTGGAAGCAAAAGAAAGAAAAAGGTGGAAATTAACATCTTCGATCGATCTCAGATCAAAGTTCGATCGATCCAACATTATCGATCTCAGCACTTCAAGATAGATCAGAGCCATAATGACATTTTCAGAGATCTCAAAAGTTCGATCGATCCAACATCATTCTTCGATCGATCGAACTGCTTTGTCCTTATCCAAATGATTGATCTTATCTAGTTGTACCACCCTACTAACTACTTTTGTCCTTTTCCCAAAAATATCTTCAATATATCTCAGATTTGTCTTTATCCAAAAAGTGCCACCAATGAAGATCGATCCAGCCTAAGTTCGATGGATCTCAGCCATGCTCGATCGATCGAACTTCCTCCAGTGTGAAAAAGTTAAATTTCCAGCTCATTAAAAGTTATCATTTACCCAATCATTCAGGAATATTGTGTGCACTACCCCAGCTCATTTTGGGTGTCATTTGACCTACCTATATAAGGATAAGGATTGTTTTTTACAAGGGAGAGCCAACATAATATCATCTCATCTCTTGGAGAGCAAGCTTAGAGGAGGAGGAGGCTAGAGACACAAAGGGGGGAGTTCTTCATCAACAAGGAGCAGATTTCTTCCATGGAGTTAGCCCTTGAGGGTTGGAGCAACATCACCATGAGTGGCTAGACATCCTCTTGGGGCTAGAGTTAGCCCCAAGCATGCTTTCTATATCTTAATCATGTGTATTATTGAGGGATTAGTGTTGTAATTAATGTTTTGACACTTTGATATATATAGATCTTGATTGTTCAATGATTTATGTGCTTAAATGCTTTCAATTGATCATTTCATTCTATCCATATGTCTATGTATGCTAGAATAGATGTTCATGTGCTTGTCTCTAGATTTTGTGTTATTGATGCATGTCTATGTGTATTGATGCTATAGAGTTTGAGATTGTCAAAACATAGTGCTTAATGGAATGCTCTTGTGATTTTCTTGATGGTTCATACCTATTCTTTGATGGATTGTGCCTCTCCCTTAGTTTATTTTCATGCTAGTAGTGTAGATGTAGTGTAGTTGTAGTGTAGTGTTAAATGGGAGGACAATCCATGCTTGTTGTTTGATGATCCATGCTTTTGAATACAAGTAGCATATGTCTCTAACCTTGTGTTGTATTTGGATTGTGAGCTTAATGAAAGGATTAATGACTTGTTTTGATCTATTGTGCCTTTCACATGTTGTTTAGACAATATACGATTCATTACTTAGATATATTGTGTCTTTCACATGATGTTTAGACAATACATGCTTAACTAGTCATCTTTGCTTATTGAATCAACCAAACACACACACACACACACACACACACCAATATTGCAACACACCATTTGCCCTCATTAGTCACCTGTCAATGGTATAGAAATGCATTGCTTGGTGGTGATCTCTAAACCCCAAGACTCTTCTCTCTCTTATTTGCTCTTAGTTGCATTCTTTTGCTATCACTTAGTTTAATTTAGTTGCTCTCTAGTCTAATCAACCAACCAACCAATTGTTTGATTACTCGACCTACTAACCCTAATAGCGATTCCACAACCTTGTTCAACTCTCACAATCCCTTGGGACGATCCCTACTTGCCTAGCTATATTTATAGTGAAAGGTAGTAGCGGCTTCTATAAATGTAAAACTTGTCCCTCGCCTTAATGCACAATCTCTAAGCTTGTGGTAGGACGGCGACACCTGACCGCCACACGTGTATCCCACGTGCATTCATCTGGTACTTTATGTGGAGTAAATTTAGTTTCTCCACCATTCCAAAATCAAAACTTGTTGTTCAGCCCTCTCAATCAAAACCCTAAACCCTTAACCCTAACCATAGTTGTTAAAGGCGTCGGAGGCGCGCGCCTGAGGAGCAAGGCGCCTCTAGGTGCCATCCTGTCGCCTTGCATGACTTAAGGCGACTAGGTTGTAAAAGGTGGGCGCCTTTGTATAAAAGGCGCAACGCTAAAGGCGCGCCTACTTGAAAAGTGTTTTTTTATATATATATAATTATTTTGTTATTATTTTGGTTTTGTATGGTTTATTATTTGTTTATTGTTGTTTTTTAGTTGTTTATTACTTTTTATTATTATAGAAGCTACAAGTTACAAAAAAAAAAAAAAAAAAAAAAAAAAGAAGAAACAAAAAGCAAAAGGAAAGAAAGCAAAAAAAAAAAAAAAAACAAAAGGAAAGAAGGGACAGAGGCAGCGAATCTCAGTCTTGGTCCTCTCGGACTCTCGGATCTGCCGGATCTGCGTCTGCCGGTAAGTTCTCCTTCCCTCTCTCGCTTCTTCTCTTCTTCTCGCTTCTTCTCTTCTCGGATCTGCCGAAGGCCCGGATCTATCATCTCTCAGTCTCAAATTTATTTATTTATTTATTATTATTATTATTATTTTTCTCTCGGCTCTCTCGAGTCTGGCACTCTGGCAGATTTATTTATTTATTTTTTATTTTTAGGCTTGGCCAATTTGGCCCTCTGTTTTTATTCCAACATATCCTCTGTTTTTTTTATCCTCTGTTTTTTTTTATGCTTGTCTAGATTAGTGCCTTGCATGTGTTTGAACTTTGATGATCAATCTGTTTCTGTTTTTAGGCCTGTTTTTATGCTTGTCTATGTTGCATGTGTTTGAACTTTAATGATCAATCTGTTTCTGTTTTGGTAATTATTATTATTTTTTAATTACACAAGTTAAAGTTATTTTGACAAATTTATGTTGTGAGTTGTGACTGACTGCTGCTTTGTGATAGTTTTAGAGGATGAGTAAACTTTAATAGTATAAAATTTGGCGACTTATTGCAATTAGAGACAGTACTATATCAGTTGTACAAAACATTACCACCATAGTAAAAAGGATCCTTTTTTTTACTTCTAAATTAGTTTACAATAAAACAATAGTTCCCTGGCCCAAGGCGACCAAGGCGGTCGCCTTGGGCCTCAAATTTTTGAAGGCCTCAATTTTTGAGGCCCATAGAGGATGGAAAAAAAAAAAAAAAAAAAATTTTAAGTTAGGACAAGTTTTGGTGAGGTCCATAGGGGATGCAATAAAATGAAATACGGAGGATTAAGTTAGGGCAAGTTTCAGACGACACAATCTGCTTCGACACTCCGCAGGACGCAGCCTCCGCTATCGCCTCAGGTGACAAGGTATGATCATCCTCTTTCTCTCTTCTCTCTCCTTTTGCATGAATCGATCTTTTATATATGTTTCTTTCTTTGGTTCATCTCATCATTTGATTTGTTCTAACTTTGGTTCGTTTGATTCGGGCCTTTACCTTTGTTCCAATAGTGAAAAGTAGCTTCCAAACTAGGGTTTTTTTGTGTATGTGTGTGTGTCACTGTGTGTGATGGCTATCAAAAGCTGAATGAATATATTATGGTTCTATTAGTATTTTAATAATGTGTGTCTTTCATGGCGATCGAGTGCATAATCTATGGCAGCCATTTTTTTTTTTTTTTTCCTCTCCTTAATTCCACTCCAATCTCACAACAGCAGCAATCATACCCCTTTTCCTCGTAAGTTTTTGCATTTTCACATTCAATCCTACGAAAATTAAGGATTCCTTCTAGTGGGTTGAGCCGTTGAGGTAATAATTAACTTTTTCGATCTCTAAATTATGCTCATACTTAAAAGTGCCAAATTAAGGATTTTTTTATATTTTATTTTTATATGAAGATACATACCACCATTATTGATGTTATTTGAAGTTGGCTCAGCTAGAATTTCAGTTAATAATACTGTCAAAGCACTTGCCATCAGAATGTACAAACACATGGAAATCAAGAGCAGGCTTTAACAAAACAAAAGTTAATGGTTTCTTCTGTTGCAATGATCAATCAATCACTGCTACTAAAGTTGATTCCTCATCCTGAAATCAAGAAAGGGGTAATTGGCTCCCAAAAAAAACACACACAAAGTGTAGTTAATATAAAGAGTGAAAGACAAAACTATATATGATAGTGGATGCCACATATAACCTAAAATTCCCACTAATTCTTCAGCACTACAAGTTCAGCCTCCTATATATATAGTCACCTCATCTCCACATTTTTGTCATCTGTAGTCATCAAATTTTAGCAGCTATATAAACAATAAATGTAAAAAAGAAGCTGCAGTTTTCTGTTCCCCATTTCCACTTTTGGACTGTATTTTGGATACTCTGTTTTGTCTTCTCTCCTCTCCTCCAGATTCCAGTGAAAACTCCAGCTAGGAGATCATTCAACCAAACAGCTTGATTTTAGATTTTTTATTTATTTATTTATTGTATGATCGGCAATGCTTAGTTATTATTGTTTCTGTTTGATTCTCCATCCACTTTATGTTAATTGTGATCTTCTTTCACATGCTAGCAGGACACTCTTCTTATGATCTCGTGAGGTTATTTGCCTTGAACTTGAATCAAATCATTGCATATTGAGGTAATATATATTTTCTTTAAACAAAGCAAATTATTATTATTATTATTTTTAAGTCTAGTTTTATGTTGATTATGGTTCCTGTTATTTAGATTTCATTATGTCTACAAGAAAATTTGAATCTGGGCATGAAAAAAGAAGAAGAAGAAGAAGAAGAGAGAAGAAGAATTGATTCAATCTCAAAAAGGAGATAATCTTAAGTTTTTTAGGAGCAATACACAAATAGAGAGTTTAGTTGAAGATTTGGTGAATGAAGAACATATGAATGCGAAAGCAAATGAAGAAAACCTCAATAAACACGAAGATTTAATGAATAAAGATCATAGGAAGTTAGTCAATGAACATGAAGATTTAATGAATGAAGATTATAGTTATTAGTTAGTTGTCTTATGCACATTGCACATGCGCGCAATTAAATTAGCTATAGAATTTGAAGTTGTCTTATGCACATTGCACATGCGCGCAATTAAATTAGCTATAGAATTTGAAATCATCGTGTGAAAATTCCGCACTCTTATAATTTTTTTTTACATGTGTGAAACTTAAGGGCCTCACATTTGAAAGTTTGCCTAAGGCCTCTCAAAATATTTGGAAACTTAGGGCCGGCCCTGAACATTACCACCACCATAATGAAGAACGAATTTAAACTTCACTCACTCCAACAATAATGAACTGATTATTATTAAAAAAATTGATCATTGAAGTTGTCACAAGATGGGTTAATTTATCTTCTTTAAAAAAACAAACAAAACAAAAAATATCTTGTAGAACAAATTTTGATTGGGTGGGTTTTGTTTCCCATATTGATTCTTCTTTATATATACTATTGCATCTTTAATACTTTATTGGGTGGGTTTTTTTTTTTTTTTTTTTTTTTTCTCAACGTGCGCCTTGCTTCAGTCGAGCGCGCGCCTCGCCTTGCGCCTCAGGCTCCAGGAAGCATTTGCGCTTTTGTGTGCCTTGAGCCTTTAACAACTATGACCCTAACTGTTGCAATCTATTTTTATCAGACATGGACAGAACTTCAAACCTGCTCGACGAAGCCCTAGGTCTCGACGACCAGGCGAGTCCTTCTCCAATCTCGTCCGGCCGAGTAGCTCTCGTCGAGGACTGCGTGGAAACCAGTGGCGCATTCGTTCTTCATCACCTCATCAAGCACTCTCTTTCTCCTCACTACTCCTCTGCTCTTGTCATCTTCGTGGCCTTCGCCCAACCTTTCTCTCACTACGATCGCATCCTTCGAAAAATGGTACTCTCTCTCTATCACCCCGTATGTTTGAAAAAAAGTCTTTTTTCAACTTTTTCATTGATCATTTTGGTGGATTTGGCTTAGATTTTATTTTAGGCTGTGTCAATCAATGATGTTTGTTGGGAAATTTTTGGATTTTTGTGGAATATTTAAATTTCAGTGGTATCTGTAATGTCTGGCTCTATATACTTAAATTTTTGTTAGGGCAATAAGGGTTGTTTTGGAGACGTGGTTCTTGTTGTACAGAACTTTTCCATCTCTGTGAATCATTTTACAACAATTACAATCAGTGGATCGGATGGGTAGCTATGTGTTAATTAGAATAATCGACTCTTGGGCTATTTTGACTTTGGTAAAATGTGTGAGCATTGGCTTGATATGGGTACAAACTCTTGGATGATTATTAAACTTTGAAGAATACAGAGATATTCGGGAAAAAAATGTATATCTCATAAGATTGAAAAATTTGTATCTTTATGGCAGCTGCTATCACCCCAGTAAATGATTTTTGAAAATAAGATCCTTATCAAAAGAGACAATATAGAAGAAGTTAGTATTTTTTATTTCTAATAATTTGGTAATTATGCTAATGAGATTTTGAGAGCTCAGTGCACAATCACATTACTAGGACTTAAAAATTGTGGTTCTGATTGGCGTAGCAGCCACATGAATATGTATTTCATAATTTTCATTTCATGAATTTACTATGTCTCTATGGCATGCTTGTATTCGCGCAAGAATCATACAATATCAAGAACAAAGAAATTAATGATCAGAAAATAGGTTGCATCCCAAAATGCACAACATAGTGGTTCTTTTGTGCATTCTCGAAGTAAGTGCATACATGTCCAAATAGGTGTCGGGCACATGTCAGCACAGCTTTCATGAGGCAATTGTCTAAAATGTCCAATCATGTATGAGAACATTTATAAGTATTCTGTTCAGCTACATGTGGATTATGTAAATGTGCATGGTTTTCATTTTTGGGACATTTAGATTCATCGGCATATTTTATGGATAAAAGCCTTGATGAAATGCTATCGATTTAAAGTGTACCTCAGTAGGAATTTTTGCTTGTTTGTACTGTCAGTTCATATGAGGTATCTTTTTTCCGTTACGTGACAATGCATGCATGTTGTTTAACAATTTATCATCCAATCGTATGAATTAGTTAGTGAGTTAGCATGTGGGTGTGTATGAAACTAAACAAAATAAGTGGTAACAAGAGGAAAATAATGCAATTTAGATTTGAAATATTTATGAAAAGTTGCAACCTATTATTGAGCTTTGGCAATATTGTTAATAAATTCCATAATGAGAGTATTGTTTTACCCACTCCAGCTCCCTCGACCTGTCCAATTTTTCCTCACACTTGCTCTTTTTCTCAAAACAACAAGATAAAGATAAAATGATGCACGCATCCTAAGGCGGGTCTGTCAGTCCTCTGGTCACTGTAGCTGTAAAGATTCTGGTCAGAGCATTACTTGCCCTAGCTCTCGTGGAGGAACTACCGAGACTCCCTATAATATTCTTCAATAAATTAGGAGAAAATTTAGAGAGATACATTTGTAATGATGTGCAACAACCATAGCTTCTTACTTTAAATATGGTGGTTTTCAGCTTACTTTCATGATGTATTGGTTTAATATCAGTACGAAGCATCATCTATTTCAGTTAATTTTTTTTGAATAATTTTCATGAGTAACATTTACGATATCTGGAGTTGTTGCTATCACAGGGCTGCAACTTAGTTGTGCAACGGGATAATAAAAGATTCATATTCTTTGATATGCTTATGTTGGAGTGTCCAGGTGAGAATATCAGGTAGAAGTGGTTCTTCTAAACCTTTTTAATCCCGTTCTTGTTATCTTTTGGTGGACTTCAGTACTGCAATATTTGAAGAAAATAAATTCGTTGACACGGGATCCTAACAGGCGTTACAAATTATTTAACTTAGCCAAGTATGCGTAGTGTCAAAAGTATTTTTGGCCCCAACATCAATGGACTTACCTTTCCTTTGGTGTATTTATTAAGAAATGTGTTCTGTTGTTTTGATTTCAACTGAATAAGAAACAAAATTGTTGGGATCTACCATGTTAAATCTTAAGGAGCCTTACAATATCTTGCTTTAATTACTTTTTGCTTTACATGTGACGGGAGTCTGCTTTGACTTGATTTATGATTAGATGGAGATGGAGGAAACATCAGTAGAGATGGGCTTCTGGAGTTGTACGGGAAAATTCAGAAAACCATGGAAGAATGTGCTTTAACTGGGGATAAGAGGACCTGTATGACTATTATGATAGATGACATCTCTTTAATGGAGGTTGCTACTAATGGCTCTTCAAATCATGTCTTAGACTTCCTGCATTACTGCCACACTCTAACAGCACAATTTGTAAGACCTAGTTTTCATTTTGTATTTCCACTCCTTTGTTTAGCGCATTCGTGCGCATGCAGACACACATGCTTAAGATCTGTATTCGGTCAGAGTGTGGATAGAAGAACTGAAAAAGATCCCTGCGCAAATCTCAGTTGTTGATCTATTGAGAATAACTTCTTTTTACAGGGTTGTTCAGTAGTAGCTCTTAATCACGTGGATATCTATTCAAGCACGGAGGGGCCTCCACTTATTTTACAGATGGAGTACCTTGCAGATGTTATAATAAAGGCAGAACCTTTGGCCACTGGTTTAGCCACTGATGTGCATGGACAGGTATCACTAATTCACTATAATATTGCAATATTTGATTTACATGTTGTGATCAATGTAAACTAATCTACCGAAGGAAGAATATGAAATTGCATTTTTGGCATTTCTGACTTGTAGTTTTGACCTATTATAGAAATTGCACAGATCTGTTTCATTCATTTAACAGTGATGAAATCATGGCACACAAATTCCTCCCCAGATGAAATTTTCAGTAGTTCCGGATTACCCGCAAAATAGGATTGTTTCTAATTGTTCTTATCTTCAACTCTAAAACATTCAGGAAGAACATTTTATATACTAATTATAAATAGAGACCAACCATTCTTAAAAATGGATTTCATGTCACGCGACTTATTTCAGTGGCTTTATCTGAGTGTGGTTCTTTAATTTATTAATTTATTATTTTTGTTTCTGTGCAGTTGACAGTTTTGAGCAAGGGAATTTCTTCTGGTGGGGAAAGCTCAAGAAATAAGATGCACAATTTCCACTTCAAGGTCAAAGAAAATAGTGTTGAATACTTCTATCCCGGGAGTCGGAGTTGAGAAGAAGACATCTAACCAGATATTTAACCATATATTGTTGAAAGAGAAATGATGTTCAGAGAGAGCACCGAAAGGATGCCGAACACAGTACACCGGTGGATGAATACACCTGCAATTGTCCATTTGGCCCCCATTTACATTCATCCAACGGGGTAAAATTATTCAAAGAGCATTTTTCTTCTTGAAATCTAATTTTCAAATGAATGTGTCTAATTTAAACAGATCAGGGTAAAATTACTAGGTAAAGATCTTTTTAGGCTACCATTGTGTATCAAATTTAGAAGACATTTAATGTACCCTTGGAAATTTAATTTTTGTATGAATACATCATTTGTGCTTCCGCAGATTAAGGGGAAATTGTCGGGGAGATTCCTCTTTAGGTTACCAATGATCTGTAGTATTGCTTTATTTGAAGTTGATTGTTATTAAAATTATAATATATATGTATTGAAGAACGTATGAGCATAGTAAAATATCCGACTGTTTTTAACCCTTTGCCTCAGCTCAGCTGATTTAACATTGTGATCATTCATTGGAGATGGGAAATTTCAGTGTTTCTAACTGATGTTGATACTTCTCGTTTCAATTAGCAAATTATTTCCATTCCGATGGTTTGAAAGCTCTATTGGTTGAAGTGGACTAATCTTTGTCACTTACCAGCATACTGCAAGGCACTTGCACGAGAATCTTAGTCCTGTGTCATGTTATAAATGCCCTGGCTAAACCTGTCGATGGTAGATGTGAAATTTCAGCTTCTGAATCTCGGTTAATTGAATACCCGAAGGTCTAGTAGGCCCATATGGTTTACTCTTGCAGGAAACACATACATGTTGGTTTTCATGAATAATGATTGAGACCAAAATTGTACAGTGGATTTCACTGTTGTATACATTTAAGCAAGGGCTTGTACAACAATCTATGCTAGAAGGTACCCAGGCTATTGCGTGGTTCCTTGCTCTCTTCATTTCTGTCGCATGAAAAGTGTGGGCATCAGAATTTTCTTTTAGTAGAAGGTTTCAATAACAATGTAAAAAGCAAAACTCAGTGTTGGGGCGGGCAAGCTTCAGGTAATGAAAGTCGCTCTCTCTTCTCTGATATGGGATGTTCAAAAACTCGACCGGATTAAAAGGTCGCTTGTTATGAAACAAACTATATAAAGATTAAATAAACCTAGGTTTACAGGATTAAAAGGTCGCTTGTTATGAAACAAACTATATAAAGATTAAATAAACCTAGGTTTACTGGGATGTGTAAACCTAGGCAAGTCCATTTTACACATACACACAGGGCACAGGGGGCAAAGTATGCGAAAGGTAAAATTTTTTTACAAAGCTTAGAGCATTCCCGGATCTCAATAAAGCAAGAGAAGCAGCTGACCTTTGCATTTGCAATCAACAAGTTACATTAATCATCCTGATTCCAGCTCCACTGCGACCAGGACCCCTACGGTAGCTCCTCCACACCAAAAATAGATAGAGCTCTTGTTCGACGAGTAAGCAAATAACGAAGAAAGAAGATATGATTTAAGGTCCATAAAATCGATCAGATCAGTGGCAGTCTGGTTCAAAGTTATGATTTAAACCTTATTCTGCATTCTATCTAGTTCAAAAATCATAAACATACAGAAAAATCAAATGACAGCAATATTGAGAATAAACAAATTAAATTAAATTGACTGTATAGTATGTAATAATGTAACCACCAATTTCATCATAACTCCTCTCAAACATACTTCGACCATCCCACACATCTCCCAAAGCCCCAAGGGGAGATACAATTACAAAAAGTTCAGGGACATTTCAAGCTTTTATGGCATAAAAACGTCACCTTTTCTGTTTAAAATTAATAATATTCATGTACATCTTGTACATGCAAAGAATAATCAACTTACCTCGGTATTAATCTACAGTTCAAAAAACTCATGCTGCTGCAGACTTTTTGTCCTCGTGATCATCAAGATTCAAAGCTTGAAGCAGTTTCGGCCAGGACTCTGGGATTCCTCCTGGAAGATCAAACTCTAACAACTTCCCACGACTGCGATAGAATTCCTCCACAGGTCGGCTCTGTAGGAACAAGATAACTTATAAACAAACATAAATATTTGAACCATCAAAACTTGTCATTAATGTTTTTTTGATATAATATTTCTTCATTCCCTCAACTAGTCAGGTTAAAAAAATTAATCATATTTCCCAATTAAGACGTCAAGGCTTCCATTGCCACCAACACCATATTGAAAAATGCTTGCAATACCCCTCTAAAAACAGTTGATCGAGTGAGTGTGCGTATAACTCACCACCAATTCTACGTTTGGCAGGAGGGAAGGAAGGGGGAGGAAACGAAGAGAGAAGGGATGGAGCAACGTTCATTTGTTCGGTAGAAGGGAGAGGAAGAGATGAAGGATAGGAGGAGGGACGAGGATTCCTCCGGACCCACTGTTTTGCTTCTATCCATAAGTGAAAGAAAGAGGAGATAAAAATGCATATTTGTTACATAAATTTGAAAAGAATATCCTATTTAATGTATTAATTTATATATTTAAGGGTACTTTCGTAAAATAATAATACCATTTTATTTCCTTTTCTTCCATCCAACCAAACAAAAGGGGGAATGGACACCATCCCTTCCCTAAGGATGACTCATCTCTCATCCCTCCTACCAAACAAAGCACAATGAGAAACACGGATAAAAGAAATCCAAGAAAAGAGGCCCACAAACAGCAAGAAACAAGGGTGTCAACCCACAAATTTAGATGAGACCTTCCATCCTTTAAAATAAACCATGAAACACACATACAAGTTATATTTTGCAATGTGAAGGATACAATCATAGTTGCAAAAGTTCTACTATATCAAAATGCACTTCCAATAATCCAAGGACTCCCCCCCCCCTCCCCCTCCAAAAAGAAAACTGTTCTTTCTGTCATCATTTCAGATTCAGTGGTACACACAAAAGGAGTATGCACTAGAATGTTTTTTATTTTATTTTATTTTTTTTTGATAAGTAATAATTGAATAAAAATATACAAAAGTGGAACCGGGGTTTTAAGGCCCCAAAGAATCCAAAAAAATGATTAAATCATTTGAAGAGGAACATGACTTCCTCTTCACGTAACAAAAAAGAGAGCGAATGTGAAGGATACAATCATAGTTTCAAAGTTTCTACATTAGAATGTTTTAGAACAACATTCCTGAAGATATCAGTTCTATAATGACAACAGCATCAAATCACAATAACAACTAGGAAAATCTAAATTGTAAAAGAATTTCCTCTCTCTCAAGGTATATCCATACCATTAATAATGTAGAATCAATGACTGATACTGCATAATCAGTATTCTGTCTGATAAAAAGAGAACTATAAAACTCAATGCAGCAAAAATAGACCTTCAATCCTATAGAACAAAGTATGAAATGGCACAAGTTATATATTTAGCAATATGAAGGATACAGCAAAATTTTTACAATATCGAAAGGCACTTCCATCACCCCCACCCCAACATTAAAAAAATAAAAAAAATAAAAAATAAAAGGAAACAGAAAAAAACGAAACCCTTCTTCCTGCCATTTCAGGGGTACACTCTTGTGACATATAAACACCAAAGGAGTTTGCGCTTGAGAACATCCTTGAAGATATCATCAATTCCGTAATGACAAGAGTATCAAATGATAACAAAAATTGGGAACTTTTTTTTAGGTTTATAGACATAAGCTGGCAAATTTTGTATGACGAAACTTACTCATGCAATGTAATTTTTACTGTATTTCATTTTTAGTAGGTGAACTAGTTGTTAGAAGTCATAATTGTGTGTGAAGGCTACACTTGGTGAAGAAAGTTATATGAAAAGGATGTCAACTTCGTCAAGTCAGAGAAAACAAAGGTAATATCACACCAATACACTCAGCGATCACCATATAGGTTCATGCAAACACATTATATATGTTTTTTCCTGGTGAATATACACGTTACATATATTTTCAAAGTTTCTTAAACTTACTTGGACATTGCTATGGGTATCGATCAAAGGTTATGCAGACTAGAAATTTCTAAAATGTGTTTTCCAAGTTATTTCATATCTAAACCGTTTTGGAAAGTATTGATGAGTTGCCTATAAATACTAGTCTTTCCATAAACCCTAGTGTGTGAATAGAAGTGCTTTATTCGTGTGCCAAATATTGCATTCACACATACTCTCTTGCATAGACAATTATGAAAGTTTTTGAGAGTTCTTTTATTCGTTCTTTATCCACAAGAAAATTATACTGTTCACGTACACATATTTGTGAGTGTTATTCTAGAGAGATTAGTGGGTGATCTTTCTTATTTGTCATCACATATCATATCCATTAGACATGGTGATCATGATGATATATTCAAGGTGTTGTAACTACTGAAGTTATGTTATGCAACGATTACAACAACACCGTTCAGAGATAACCATCAGATGAAGTACTGAATATTGTAGACAAATTAGAAAGACGACCTGGAGATCTTCGAAGGACTAAAGGTTTGGCGTCCTACCGTGTCTAGGGATCAACTAGTGTTCGAAGGACTGAATAGATCTAGGTTGTGCATCTCATTCTTCAAAGTGGATTATTTTGCCGGACTATGTCCCGTGGATTTTTTGACTCGCCGAAAGGGAGTTTTCCATGTAAAGATCTGGTGTGCCTCTAAACTTTATTTTGCTTATGACATCAAGGCAATATCAATTATTGTTAAAGAACAAATTGATTTAAATTGTAGATTAAATTTGGTGAAAATTAGTGTAGTTTCCGTTTAGACCTATTCAAAACCCCCCAAGTCTGAGGTAAACGTGATCAGAACGATCCTGCTGTGCTTAGGACTTGATTGTTACTGTATAGTCTCAGTTGAGTCACTCTTCAATCGGTATCTTCCATATTGATTGATAAAAACCCCATCACTTTTAATTTAAAAAGAACACCCCCCTCCCTGAAAAAAAAAGGTACATCCATTACCGTTAAGAATGTAATATTGACTGATAGTGTGTAATCAGTCTTCTGTCTAATAAAATAGAAATATAAAACTCAATGCATCAAAAGAAGATTTGTTTAGTCTCCTCAGTTCAAGAAAAAAGTACACATACGTAAATAAAAGAAATCCTGGGAAGATGAAGCAATACCATCTCATTGTATACACGGAGCCGTTCCTTTACAACTTCCTCAATGTCATCGGACCGGGTGATAAGTTTTGATGCACATTGTGGAGGAGGATGAAGAGGAGCCATGTACATTCCAGGGCTTCCATTCTCACCTTTGATGTCAATACAGGCAACATTATAATTCCCTCCACACTCGCTACAAATCCTTCTGCCAAGGCATTTTGCAAGCAACGCTTCTTCCCGAAGCTTAAGATTAATCACCAAGTCAATGTCAGTTACTCCCTCTAATATTTCCTGAAAATAACCAAGCACAAAAGGCAAATTAGGACGGAAAAGGAAAAAAAATGTCAAGAGGGTCTTGTCAAAATATATATATATATGTAAGTATAGATATTCCAATCCTGGCACTTCTTTATACATCATTTGAATAAAAAAATTCGTGAACGCTCAACGAGCACTTGTCAATTGCAGACTATAGAAAATATTAAATTTAATGAAATCTTTAATGTAATTCTTTCACAAAGTGGGGTTAAATAGTCTTAATTTGAACAATAAACCTCATCACAATGTTTTAGAGTTAATCTTTTGCAAAATGCATTTTCAGTCAGCTTATAGCAATTGTCAATATTAATCAGAATTCAAAAGGTTGTAGGCTATTACAGAATATGTTTATATCCTAAAAGTTATTGTGAAATTATAATATCCATTGCTGGGACATTAGATATCCCGCTACTTTATCTAACTAAAATAAGTAACCCCTTCAAGCTTCTCTATCTAATTTTGGTGAGCAAGACCATTCAAGCTTCAAACAGCATAAAAATATCTACTTCCTGAAAAATAAAATAAAAATAAAAATAAGAGAGGGAATTATCATTAAGAAGGTTAACTCGCCTTACTTATCAAAAAAAAAAAAAAAAGGTTTATCTCACCTGAATATCTTCAGTCTATTGTTTCTTCCCCTACTTCAGTTCTAAATTAGTCACTATGCCAATCAATAACTCAAAGAGAGATGATTAATTCTTTTTCTTTTCTTTTCTTTTTAACATTTCAATAATGATCACAGACAAAATGCTCACTGCTTGTTTTATAGTTCGAGGGAAACCATCAAGAATAAATCCCGATTCACCCTTTGTTTCTCCAGCTTCAAGACGCTTGGACAATAAGTTTATTATAATTTCATCTGAAACCAATTGCCCTTGGTTAACAATCTCTGCAAGCTGCAAGATAGAAACAAATAAATAAATAAAATGAATAATGAGAGCAAATGAACCAGCAGGAAAACTGTTCCTAGAAGGTAAAAGCTCAAAGATAGAGTTTCATATTTTTCATTTCATTAGCATAATTTCTCTCTCTTTTTTTTTTAATAAACAAATGCAACTTTATTAAATTGAGGTATGAAAAAAGGAAAAAAAAAAAAAAAAAAAAAAAAGAAAGAATGAAAGAGAAAACTCTGATCTAATTTAAGATGGTAAGTGATAACATGGAGATTCTAAAATAGGAATTGCAGCTATATTCCGTAGAGGAAATAGGAAAACACAGCACACATTGCAGCTCACTAAGTCATTAAATTGTTAGTTAGAAAGAGAACCTGTTATACTCTTCGTTACACTAATAACACTATATTATAGCACGATAGTTTCTGACACAGAAGGCTGCTGCAATTATTTAGACAAGTAAGACCTAATTTATCAAAATTGTCAATCTTTGGGACCCTGAGTAATGAAAATTAACCCTGTTGAATGTAGAACATGGGCAGTCTACTTCGATCATTCCTGATGCAATGATCCATTTAATAAACTTACTCCGCAACTTCCAGCATTTTATAGAACACATTTTCAGATACAAAATTTTAGTTGAGAATAAAAAGGAAAATAATTCTTCATTAAGGTCAAAACATAAATCAGAGAAGCAACCACTATACTATTCTTACATAACTTCCATGGACTTCAATAAATATTCTTGGATGAACAGACATAATTACTGACACTGAACAACAAATTCATTTCAGATGAGGTTAGCCATAAAAGAGGTCCCAACCAACTTGCTTTGGAATAAAACCTAGAAACATAATTTTTTCAAAGTTCCACTAGACAAATAGTTTCTGATAAGCAAGGAATAAAAATGAACAGACAAAAGTAAGATTGTCAGAAGCAACCAATTACTCACCATAAAGGCCAGGTTGCTAAATAGAGGTCTCGTAATCATCTTTAAGTTCGCTATAATTCGGAAACTGGCTTGTTTCAAATTATATTTCACAATCAACTCAAGTTTACATAGAGCAGAATGGCAAAAGGAATGATTTGCCAACGCTAAACAAGTTGGATAAAGGTTTGCTGAGTTAACAAACTAAATACAATTAAGTTCATGAATGTTAATTCAGTATTCGAACCCCATTTCTTTTCTGGAAAATATAACATTCAAATCAGCATTATATTAAGAAAATAAGGAATCACTTCTTATCAAAAGAAGAAAAGAAAAGAAGGAATCACTAGTGAAGTATTGAAAATTCCGTCAAATTTGTATATTCAATTCTGTAAACAGATTAACAGAAGTAACTGAGCTAATAAAAATAATATTATGCGGGTGGATGAAAACAAATGGCATAATAATTAGCTGAGTTGAACTGAGTTCAAGGATAATCCGTTAACTTAAAGTTGTTACCCTTCCTGAATTTTAATTGATTCAGAAGATACAATGCTTGTATGGACCATAACAGGATAAGTGAATCAGTCGACTTGGTAAGGTAACTAAGCTAGATCATAGCGGGCAAGTAATGTGTTTGCTACCTTGAACATAACTAGTCACTAATGGCAACTAGCAGTGTGTTATTAGCTTGGTTAATACACTGAAAAATCACAATTTGATTAAAGGGCTATAATAAGATAAATATATAAAATACTTATAAGAGGGTCAAGGCTTAACGTACCCAGCATTTATCAAGACAATGGATACATTTGCGCTTCTTATAGACAAAATAAATAAATAACTATAAGCAACTTGCATTTGAGCAAAACATTAGGATTGGAACTAAAACATGATGACATTGATATATAGGACAAGGTGCGAGTTGCACCGTAGCGGCTGCAATATCATTGAATTCTAACAGACCATTTTAACAGCCCCTAAAGGTATCACCAACAGTATCCTCACTTGGCATAACCATTGCATATCAGTCATAATGCACAGTAACTATCATTACTTTAAACCATGCTCGAAAATTATTAGTGTGGACTCTGAGAATTCTATGTGCTCAAAATGTTTTTCCCAACTTTTGAATATTTTTTTTACTATTCAGTATCTACTTTCTCATGTTATAAAACCTTATGGTCTCCGATCTCATCCTATAATCTGATACTACATCATTTCAACAACATAGGATCTCATCCTATAACCTTATGTCTCCTCCCAACATAGAATCCAGATTTCAACGACATTTCAAATCATTTTTTTGAACAACCGGATTTGACAGAATGAATAAAATCGGATTTGGATTTGATAGGATTTCAAATTCCAAAATATAGTGTACTGAAATCCCACAAAAAATGGTAAAATTTCATGGGATTTGGACTTATTTAAGTAATATTTATAGTTTACCTAATTTGACCCCTGCTTTAGCATTCAAATTCCAGTTGTGAGATTTTATTTCAAATCCAATTTATTTCCTTTTCCTATTCCAAATTCAAATCCCATAATGATATATATATATATATATATATATATATATTGAAAGGTGAATTTGATTACATATTGAAGTATAAATTGTACAGGCCCAATTAAATGAGCCATGAGAACAAAAGATGGTGTAAACCATACAATAGGCCAAAGCCAAACCCAAAGTCATAATGACGCAACCAAAAGACATAACAGTTATGCCAATTCAAAAGCTAACCGCTAGTATAAAATCCGGTCACAGAGGAAGAAGGCAATTTTGGATTTGATTCCAAACACAGTGTGTAAGAAATCTGCAAAAGCTCCACACATTTGAAGCAGGGCTGCTAATATTTCAATATCACAATAAATTTTGATTGCCAAGCAAAACTATCCACTGCAATAAACATGTTTTCAATGGTCTTAAAGAAAGACAATTCCAACTCAACTGACCCAAAAGGTGTATCATTTAAGTCCAAAACAATAAAACAAAAATCAAGATTCATTTTTTTATTTCTTCTCTTACATTATCTCAGCAATCAAACAGTTCAACCCGTTCCCACCAATTAAAATTTCCAACCTTTGTAAGAGATCTTTTTCATAACTATAAGCTGAAAACTATTACTCTGGGTTTTGCACTTTTCCCTCCACTCAACAAAACTTTTTCTGAAATAGAAGCAATTTCAAAATGATCAAACCATTAACACAATTTCCAAATCAGGCCAAAAACAATCAAATATTTATCATTTAAATCAATAAAATGATAAACGAATTGTTAGTCTCCTCAAATTCAACATCAATAATTTAGATAGATTTGATCATCATACCATATATATATACAAACCTAAAATCTCAAATTCAAAAAAATTAAAAACTTTAGCAAAAACAAACCACCATGTAAAAATATCTACATGCAAGTGTGTATTTACGAAAGCAAAATTCAAACCCTAATGGACCTGAGAAGCAAGTGGACCGTGTGACGACAGCTCTTCGCGGACGAGATCGCCGGTGGCGATGTGAGGTACGCCGAGGAGGGTAGAGAGGCGACCGGCGTAGGTGCCTTTGCCGACGCCGGGGCATCCGAGGAAGACCCACTGGACGTTTTTGCCCTTGGGTTCGCGACAAAGAGGCAGAGTCTTGCTGTTGGTGAGAGAAGACGAAGCTCGAAGGCAAAATTCGGAATTCAAAGACGAGGAGAAGCTTCGAGCTAGGGTGGAGAAGGCTGAGCTTCTGACTAGGCGGTTCAGAACCGCCATGGATGAAGAAAAAGGTGGAGTTTTCTAGAGAGAGAAATAACGGGGAAAGTGTGGCTTTTGAATGATGCCCGTGTTTCAGTCGTCGTTAGAGTTTTAACGGCAAGAATGAGCCACGATGTTTTGTGTCGTAGACTAGTCGCTTTTGGCAAATGTCAAAAACGTGGGTGAAATTAGTTTTAGGCCATATTGGCCATTTTCTATTTTTTTTTTATTATTAATATTTTCTTTGGTAAAGCTTTAAATCAAAATCGAGTTCATCCGATTAGTTGGGTAAAATAACTGGCTGAAAAATAATGAGTATTTTATTTTTCTTAGGCTTTAATAGTTTTGTCTTTGTAAATATTTGACTGACAACCGAATACTAAAAATTAATATGTTTTAAAAATATTTTATAATTTTAGATTTTGTCAATTTTACGTTTTCTCTCTCACATTTTTATTAGGCTTTAATAGTTTTATCTTTGTAAATATTTTACTGACAACCTAATACTAAAAATTAATATGTTTTAAAAATATTTTACAATTTTAGATTTTGTCAATTTTAAGTTTTCTCTCTCACTTCCACGTGACTTAGCTTCAACCCGTCCTTTTGGGATCCAATATTTTAGATTTTGTCAATTTTATGTTTTCTCTCTCACTTCCATGTGACTTAGCTTCAACTCGTCATTTTAGGATCCAATTCGAGATTTTCTTTAGAAAGAATAGGGAAGGAATTGAAATGTAATAAAGAATATCGATTCATACAGAAAAAAATGTTCTCTATAAATTCACTCTATAAATTCAAACACGATACATTCTCTATTGATTCAAACACCATACTTTTGAGCGAAAAATTAATCTGATTTATTACCAACCCTCAATGGAACAAATTCTACATGAATAAACCTATGATTAATCTGATTTATTACCTACCCATAAATCCAGGGGCAGCTCGAGCGTTAGGCGAGTTAGGAGGCCACCTAAGGCCCCAGCCAATAAAAAGACCCCAAAATATTATAATTGCCTAATATATAATATATTGTAATTGTTTCTTTATTGAACATTAATTCTAAAAAATTTATATACTAAAATAACTCTTTCTTTTTTTATTTTCTCTCTCTTCATCACCATTCATGCCTTTCATTAAACTTTAATCAAGAGAGAGATTATTTATCTTCTAAAATATCTTATTTTTTTATTTATCTCCTAAAATATCTTATTTTTTTATTTATCTCCTAAAATATCTCTTATACTGTTATACGCGTTTTTTTTTACCGGTTTTTTTTTTTTTACACTACGTTAAGTTGCACCACAATAAATATTTAGCCGTTGTACAGGGAATTAAAGAAACTTTCCATTTTTCTAGATTTTTATTTTATTATTTTATTTTATTATTTTTTCTTATTCCTAATCCTCGCGTTCATTCTGAATTCTGATTTCTCTCCTCTCTCAGCAAAATCAACAAGTTACAAGTCATCTCCCTTCTTAGTCCTCTCTCATTATACAACTTCACAATTTTTTTCTTCTCGACTCAATATTCATTAGTTTCAAATCTCAATTTGAACGCATTTTTCTTTTATTGAAGAATTTGCAGCAGCATTGAATTGGAGCTTTCTAAATCAAGTTGTATTGTTCTTTTTTCTTTAATTATTTTTTAGTTTTACTGACTTTTGTTATATAAATTTGTATACATCTATAAGACTATATCTATACTTTTGTTAATATATTTGTATATTTGTTTTGTGACTTGTGATATTTTTTAATATGTCTGCTAGAAAGTATGAATCTGGATTTGAAAAACTTTAAAAAAAAGAGAAGAATAGATAAACTAATTCAATCTCATAAGGGAGCTATTCATAAATTTGTTACCACTAATAATCAAAACCTAACAAAAAATTTAAGTAAAAGTTCAACAAATGAACAATCAAATCATCTAAAAGAATTAGAAAATTATACAATAGTGAAAGAAAAAAATACCAGTGACTTGATTCACAATAATAATCAAGAACAACAAAAAGAATTGGAAGAAAGTGAAACAAGTAATCGAAAATCATATTCTAAGACTGTTCCCACAAATATATATGATCCTAGACAATGGAAAAATATTGATACAAAAGTACGAGATTTATTAGTAGAAAATGGTCTAATTAGATTTAATGATTTTAATTTTCCAAAAGATGAAAACTTTAGGCATTTTTCCACTTCATATTATATTCGGAAATTACCAAATGGAGAGAAGCATGATAGAAAATGGTTCATTTATTCAAAAGATTTAGATAGAGTATTTTGTTTTTGTTGTAAGTTGTTTAATTCAAAGTATAACACGAGTCTTTTCCAAATGCTTCAATTGAAATATTAAATTATATTAAAAGATTAGATTCTTTTCCAAATACATGCATTGCTTACCGAATATTATTGACAATACCTGTAACTGTTGCGATAGCAGAAAGAAGTTTTTCGAAATTAAAGTTGATAAAATCATATCTACGATCAACTATGTCACAAGAAAGATTAAATGGATTGGCTATATTGTCTATTGAAAAAGATATTTTAACCACACTTGAATATAATAATTTAATTGGTAAGTTTGCATCTCAAAAAGCAAAAAGGATAATTTTTAATTAATTATTATATAATATTTAATATATTGCATATTATGATATAAAAAGGCCCCTTTTTATTTTTCGCCTAAGGCCCCGATTTACATCGAGCCACCCCTACATAAATCATGTAGAATTAATGGGTCAAATTCTACATGATTAAATCAGATTAATTTAATGTTTTCTCTCTCACTTTCATATGACTTAGCGTCAACCTGTCATTTTGGGATCCAATTCGAGATTTTTTTAAAAAAGAATAGGGAAAGAATTGGAATGTAATAAAGAATATCAATTCATACAAAAAAAAAAAAAAAAATCTATTAATTCAAACATGATATATTCTCTATTGGTTCAAACATCATACTTTTGAGCGAAAAATTAATTTGATTTATTACCTACCCTCAATGGGTCAAATTCTACATGATCAAACTTATGGGTAGCCATGGAAATATCGTATTATTAATAGGAATTCCAATTAATTGAGAAACTATTAAATGATTTTAGTGCATTGACATCGTAGTGTCACATTGAGAATGACTTCACAAAAATATATTGAGATATAACAAAGAAATTTTAACATGAATTGTCAACCAAATCTATCTAATTGAAGTCGTTGGTGAAGATATTTTAAGTGAAACAATGGACTCACGTGCTTACACGAAGTGGTCCTAACTGTGAGATCCAACAAGCCCAATGCCACGACTGAACATACTTTGGCCCAGCTGTTCAGTTGGTGGGGTCGGTCATACTTTTGATTCCAACTTTTTAGTAGGTGGTTTGGTTCCGTAAAACATTTTTCTTTTTCTTTTTCTGTTTTTTGTTTTAGATTAGCATAGCATCCTCGAGTCTTATCCAAAATTCTTCCAATACACCCGTCCTTAATAAAAAATTACTAGTTAAATATTGACGTTCCAATTTTGTTACTTAAATTTTAATTGATTCTTTAAAAAATGACAAAATTATATCCTAGGAGAAAGTATACAATAACACATACGTAGTAATGTATCATTGATTGTGATGCGAAACAGCATTTTAAAAACAGTTGTGTTATTTACTTCCTAAATAATATAAATAAGCACAATGGAGCACAAAAGTTGTACGAAATTATGAATATCATTTTAATAATTACATTCAATACCGTATTTATTAACTTCTTGTTTTCAACAATAAAATCAAAGGATTTCGATGGGGGCAGATTTGAAATTGGATGCCAATTCAATGCTCCCAAACATTGCTTCAATAAAATATAAAATATAAAATAAATGATATTTGGCAAGTTTTGTTTAAAATTCACAATTTTCTTGCAAAAAAAAATCCAACGTACTCAAGCACACATACCTCCACTGAGGCTCGAACCCTTGATCTCTTTAAGAAGTAGGGTTTGATACTGCTAGACCACTGGCCTAATAATAAATCCAACGTTTTCCAACAATTCACAAAAAAAAAAAAAAAAAATACTATTTCATTTCTGTATCCCCAAGGGAGGTATTTTCTTTTCCATCCTCTTTTGGTGCGGCAAGAATGGACTAAAAACACCTTCAACCCTCAAATCACGCCACATTTTACCCATATGCAAAGAGTGATCATAGCAATAACCAGTCAGTCCCCAGAGCTTTAAACATCTTGGGAAAAGCGAAATCAATTGAAATTTCGTAAAGGGTCAACGAAAGAAAGCTCATACAAACCACTAAAACACAAATGCACGATGTGTATAAAAACCTCGCATAATATCTCCTATCCTGATTTGATGACATAACTCATTCATGGATGGTGAATAAAATACACAACAAATTACATATCCAGTGATTAGAAGGTACCATTCAGTTACATATGATCTTCCCTGCCGTCTTCCTCGGTGATTACGTCCCCTGGATGCCTGCAACCAAAATTCAGCAAGTTTTAGGTCAGCCACTAATATAGATTATTGGTCAATACAAAATGCAGTTGGATCGACTCCAATGATGGCAGCAGTTAAAGAAACGAAAAGTAAACTACGGTGTCAGTCATTGGTAATATGAAGAGATTATACAATAAGAGTGTAACAAAAACATAGTCTGATGCTGTCATAGATGAACCACTTTTAGCAAAAAGGTTCCGGCCATGCACATTTCGTTTTACGTACTTCATCATTCAAAGTAGAACATACTTGAATGAAGAATCACTAAGCTGCCAGTTTTATACCCCAAACAACCCCTTGGCAGGCTGAAGAAAAAAAAAGTGGATGAAGAGGGAAAAGATACACGTCAGGACACAGATTATAGGCACAATTAACTGCAAGCATTTCAAATGAAGTACAATTAAGTTCGCTCAGGTTGTGAAGACAATGGGAGAAATTTAGGAGAGAAGATGTAAAAACTGGTGAGAGGTTCCTTAGGAAAAAGCAAGAATACACCTACAGGTGTTGGTCCCACTTATACAGCTGGAAGGGGAACACTCTCGTCAGTTCTAACCTTTAACAGTTGTCTGCACAAAGTGGGGCCTCTCAAACTCCAACCAGCATCAGCCCCAAGCCTTTACCAATAGACCCTGAAGCGAAAGCACCACCATTGACTACACCTGAGATAACAGACTGCTAAAGTTCCCCAAAATGAACCACCTAAAGAAAATAATAGAACATTCCCACTACCTACCTACCACTCTCCTCCTATAAATACACGAGCTCACCAATTCAAAGGACTTGAGCTACCCTGGAGTGTTGCGAGTGTGGGTGAAAATGGTTAAAACATTCAACTACTTTTTTGGGACAATATACATCAAATCATATAAAGTTCTTTACGTTCTTCTTTGAAGCATATTATTGTCAATCACCTTTCAAAGAGATTGAGTAAGCCAACGCTTTAACTCCGGGATGTATCATAGAAGTTAGTCTCCTTGACAAAGTGAATTCAGAGAAGAACCAGAGCCACAAATGATTTACAAGAAAACAATTGTAGGTTCAAGAGACTGGATGATTGATCCTAAAGACAAAAAAATCCAACCATGACAAGATGAGGCAAACTGAAGATTTAAGTAATGAGCTTCAAAAGGCTAGATGAGACGTAAATTCGGGACTCATTATCTCAAAGCACTTCATATCAAAATGTGCCAGAAATACTGTTTCACAGTCAAAATTACTTCTGCTAGAAACCATATTACCAATTCTTAAGCCCCCTAAATTGTATAACAAAATGAAGTTAGTCTCCCGAAGTTTCTCAATCCACTTTGCAACCTTTAGAAGGTATTATGGACGGACATAGAATAGACTGGAACATTACCAATGGAGGATGAAATTCAGGCCCTGGAGACATATAGCTGTTTTTCCTAGTTGTAAAAAGTTTGACAACTTTCCATGCTATCACGCGCCAGTCTGAGGAATAGGGAATTACCCAGCATATTAATGGTCTTAAAGCAGAAAGCTAGAGCTTGTACTACAGATTGGACAGTCATAATTCATATGAAAAGCCATAATTAACCTTGTTTCCAAAAGCAAGTTATACGAAATACCCATCCACGTGTCAAATTCTTTCTCAAAATCAAGCCTATCATGGCTGGAGCTTGATTGCCTTTCCATTGCCATCAACTCTTTTATTTCATCTTCTTGTCATTATCAACAACCTATATTCATGGATCTCTCTCTCTCGGTCTCTCCAATTGGAAAACAAATCAAGACCATGCAGGAACAGGGTTGGAGGGGTTAATCAAGATCCAGGATGCGATTCACGATGGAAGCCCATCACAGGGATGAAATTATGGTTCTTCCAAGCAGGGCTGGGTCTAGATAGGTTGGTTCCATCTCATACCCCAGTTTCCATCCCAAGGCTTAAATAAGATCCTTCTTGCTGCATTCTATGGTCAATCAGAAGTCAGAACAATTTACATTTGCTTAATTTTTATCCTTTTTGACGATCAGAATGTGAATGGCATCAGAAATAACCTCAACTGTAAAAGACAACTTGCTCTCACCAAACTTATTGAGCACTCGATAAATCAAATGAGCCTCCTCCTTTAAATAAATAATAATAATAATAGCTCAATTATTTACTGCACAATACACTAAAGTTTCTAATATACCTTGCTACCTGCTATTCTTCCCCAAAATCCAAGTAATACAATAATTAATTTAGGTTTGAATTTAGTGAACTAACACATATGGATTATGTGTATAAAGGAGGAATAACAATCATTCTTAGTCTTGGAATTACATGCTGGGGGAATTGCTGGTCATTTTGGTAGAGATAAGACAGTTTCCTTAGTAGAGAATAGATTTTATTGGCCATCTTTAAAGGGTGATGTTGCTAGAATCGTTTCCCAATGTCGCACATGTCAGTTTGCTAAAGCTAGGAAGAGGAGCACTGGATTCTACATCCCTTTGCCTGTCCCGCACACACCGTGGAAAGATCTTAGCATGGATTTTGTCCTAGTATTGCCTAAGACCACTAGAGGACATGATTCTATTCCAGCTGTTGTGGATATGTTTTCTAAGATGGCACACGTTACTCCTTGTAGCAAAATAACGGATGCCTCGCACATTGCTAAGTAGTTCTTTAGAGAAATTGTTAAGACTCCATGGATTACCCACTTCCATTGTGTCTAATAGGGACGTCAAGTTTGTGAGTTATTTTTGTAAGATATTTTGGAAACTTTTTGGGACTAATTTGAAATTCTAGTCTGCTTTTCACCCCCCAACTGATAGTCAGACCAAGGTTGTTAATAAAAGTATAGGAGACTTACATAGGTGTCTAGAAGGAGAACGCCCGGCTATATGGGATTCATTGTTACTGACAGCTGAGTTTGCGTATAACTTCAGTCAATAGGCCTACTGGTAAGAGCCCTTTTGAGATTGTCCTTGGTTTTTCCCCTCGCCAGCCTGTTGCCTTATTCCTTTACCACCTGAATCCTGCCCTTCTGAGTCCGCTGATTCCTACGCCCAGCACATCCATGATGTTCATGCCAATGTAAGACGGAAAATTGATTTTAAGTAATGAAAACTATAAAATTGCTGCTAATGCTCATCTTAGGAATCCAAAATTCAATGAAGGAGATTATGTTATGGTTTGGGTACGCCCAGAGCGTTATCCTAAAACTCCTTCAAGAAATTGCATGCCCGTGCCACTAGACCATTTCATATCATTTGTAAGTTGGGACATAATGCTTATTTACTCGACTTACCATCTAATATGGGTATTAGTTCGGTTTTCAATGTAGAGGACTTGTTTCCTTATCGAGGCGCCTTTGAGCCTCTCACTTTTCCAGCAGTTACAATCGGAGGTGGAGATGCATCTTCATCAGCACCAGTGCCAGTTCTTCCACTGATTCAGCCACAGATTACCAATCGGATTACAGACATACCTGACCATCATATTATTGCTTCTCCTTAGGGTGGTTATCAGCGACATCTCATCCGTTGGAGTGATCGTCCAGATACATATGACACATAGATCACAGAGGATGAGTTTCGCCGCATTGACACGGACCTTTTGGAGCAGTATTACGAGCTTCACTCTCTGGAGGAGAGTTCTTCTCAGTCGGGGAGAAGCGCGGTCTACGCACTTATTATAGGTGACCAGAATTGATACATTGTGAAAGACACATTTTCAAGATTATTGAATATTGATTTTCTTCTCCCTCTACTTCTCTCTCTTTCTCTCTCTCATTCTCTCATCTGTCCTACATCACTGTGCCATCAGGACTAGACACTTAAGTATCCTTGACGTTTAGGATTTGATTTTAGTATGAATATTTTAAACTCACTTCAAAATAAAATGTTAAGGAATCAGGAAAAAGTGACTGCAAAACAGCAGGATCTTGGTTTCCATGGAAGAACGGCACCCTAATAGTCTGATTGTTTCAATGAAGAACACAAGTAGAAAAGAGAACAAGAAAAAAAGTGTATCCACAGAATTGGACAATGATGGTAAAAGATTGTATGCTACTATAATTAATAAAATGAATGATATTTAATTAAAAAATTGGCCTGCATAGCCTGTTTATTTTGCCAATAGTGAGCTTCCAATCGCACTGAAGTCAAATAATTTCCTCTGACGATGTCTCAATTTTTTTCAGATTTCAAACATGATTGTGAGATTTTCCAATGTCATTTTCTAATTTACCTTTTTAGTAGATTTTCTAATTTACCTTTTACTAGATTTTCTAATTTAACCTTTCCATATTTACTTTTTACAATAACTAAATGAGAACTGAAATAAAATTCTGTTTCAGGGTTTAGAAACAAACCGCCAAGAAGTGGTCAGATTCCAAGCTTTTCTATCCAACTGAAGATTTTCCAAGGCAGCTGAAGTATGATTTACATCATCTGGAAGCTCATCACTGTCATATCTCCGGTTGTAATCATCTTTTCTATAGCCCGATACGGAGGTCCCCGCTCTCCTATCTGAATGCTATAAAGAATCAGATTAAAAAAAACATAATACAGATGATATAGAGAGAAAATTAAATGGGTTTAGTACTTACCAGAGGCTTGGGAGACAGGACCCGGCCTATTATAAGCAAGCCCACAAACAAAAACACATCAGTGAGTGGAAAAAAACACACAGACATATACATATACATATATATATATATATATATATATAGAGAGAGAGAGAGAGAGAGAGTTGGCCAAGCACCTTCCTAGTGGAGGTAATCCTCCAGCAATAGATGATGAAGAAGGTCTCCGAGTGTTCCGGAATTCCAAATTGGACAAAGACTCCATTTCGGGAGTGGTCACTCTCCTTCCAGTGCCCCTTGCTTGTGATAAGTTCTATATGAACATGAATAATTATTACAAAGCCAAACTAAAAAAAAAAAAAATTACAGAACATCATGGAATAGGAATGGAGTTCACATATCTAAATCAACAAAAAGGTTTGCATATTTGAGAAGGGAAAAAAAGAAAAGAAAAAAGGTACTCAAATAAATCCAACTGGAATAAAATACTGGTTATTATCATGCTCACACACAATTTAAACAAACGAGGGAAATCATCATTGTAGGAGAAAATCATATGCTCCAAACAAAAAAAAATAGCATGTATGTGTGTAATCAAAACAAAGAGAAAAAACTGTTTACACCACTGAACTAGATAAAGATTTATAATATTTCTCTCCCTAAACCAAAAAAAATAATAATAATAATAATAATAACCTAGAGTTGGCAGCACAAGTCTTTCTTCAGCAGTCAAATAAATTTAGGGCCTGATAACTGATCACTGATATGTCTTAAATTTAGTGTTTCTTTTGTCCCAACTCACCCATCGTTTTGGTTTACTGATTTTACAGACATGTTGGGCCATAAAGTAAACGCAATTTTCCTTTTAATTTAATATGTATTCAACAACCACAAGCAAAAACAAACATTTTCCTTTTTGTGGGGAAAAATAAAGAGAAACACACACCAAGAGAAACCTTCCAAACATATAGATTGGGTAAGAGAATCAATGTCACTGTATAAGCCATTACAACCGATGTCTTATAAATGTTATGGGAGTGGCAACTTGCAGGTGGCCAACAAGTCAGAGTTGCACCCACTTTAACAGGGTAAATTTTGCAGGTGTGGTGGTGTTGCCCGAGTGGTAAAGGGTCAGGCCTTAAGTGCTCCCCACCCTATGCTCCTAGGTTCGAATCCCCTTCCCCTATCCCCACTAATAGGGAATATATTGGAAATATAATTAACACATCTTTTGCAATAAAAACACACATGCATATTATGTTTGAAAACAAGAAAATTGGAAATTACAAAACAAATTTGGCAGACATAAGCTATCCAAAAAAATCACAAACACTTGTATATATCATTCGAAACTAGGAAACTGTGTAGTCTTTCTCAAAATAAGAAATTTGCTAACAAAAGAGTAGGCAAAGTTTGCAATGATTTAGTAGGACAATGTGTTTCAAAACTTTCAACATATAACTTTTAGGACCTCATTAAAATTCCATAATAACAACATTTCAAACTTTTAACTTCCAGAGTTTTAGGACCAATGTAATGATTCCGTAATAACAATAAAACTGCAACCTTATGCATTTTCAAATAAAAGCCCATATATCAAATAATTTGGCCAGCAAAAAGAACACATTTAGAAGCATCATCTTGTTCTGCAACTTGAACTACGAACCTTCTCTTCAGAGTAAAATCAATCTATGGAATGCAAAATTGTAGCTTGTTTCAGAGCACTGCTAATACTTTCCCTTGTTGAATTCCCTCAAGAGTTATCACCAGCATGACCCATGTACAGTGTGTAAAACACTAAATGTATGTCGTAGATATAAGGAATCAAAAAGTATCCAAGTTTACAATATCTAAGTGTTTCTAGAGATGGGTTCACCCTTCCGTTGACCAGTTAAATAACAAATTGAAGGAGTTGCTTTTCGATCTTTAAATGTGAATGAACTTCTCGTACTCTTTCATAAGAACATTGATTGCTCTCCCCTAAGACACACCACATACAACAATGTGAAGCCACTCTCCATTGTCAAACATTGACATAGTAGACCAGAAAGAAAGTTACACCTCTGACTAGTCAATGTTTATCAGGTACTAAAACACGGCAGACACAACTAGCTTACCCAAATGTATATTTATTAAATAAAAAAAGTGGCATCACGTTAATCACCCTTGCTTTCACAAATGTCTAGCTGGGCCCAATCAAATTAGCAAATAAATTGGCCTTGAAGCATAAATATATTAATGTCGTGTAGACATAATGTTGCCATACAATTTATGAGTTTAGTACAAAAGTTGACATCCAGATTAGATTAAAAATCAAACCTCATATTTTAAGAATCCTTCAAGAACATCCAAAATCAAAGGACCACTTTCTCCATTCCTGTTAGGATCATATCCATTCTTGCTACTAAATTCTTTCAACTCAGATTTCCAAAAATCTTTTTGCTGCAGGTGTAAAAAAAAAAAAGGTAACCATTTATAATTCCATTACAATGAAGTAATAGATAAAAGAATAAATTAATGTATGAAGAATACAGATAAAAATAGAAATATTAAAAAAGAATGTACATGATTACCAAATTACACTCTGGCAAATAAACTTTTAATGTGTGGCCCAGTTGCGCCCAATCCAAGTATTCAGATATCAGTGCAGTTAACAACCTTCCTGCATTCAGCACGTGCACATGTAGCCAAAGAAACATAAAGTACATTAGCATAGAAACCATGCAAAATCTTTTACCTCTTCAATGATGTCAGATGTATTACACCTGTACCAAATACATGGTTCTTTGCGACTTTCAAACATACGCATACACAAATACATAATTGGCATCTTGAAGAAGCTAAAGGACATAATCTCATACAAAGCCTCCAACTCCGAGTAGAATGGAATGGAAACTAATAGATATAAAGTTGTAGTAGCTTAGTAGTTATTTCTAAAGATTCGGAATTTTAACTAATTTTAATTCATAACAGCTGGAAACAGAATGTTCTGCTATTGAATAGGGATCAGCTAGAAGGCTCAGAACTTTATCGGCTAGAGGTACTCTAAAAAATTAATAATAATAATAATCTATATTTTGGCAAGAGATACCACTTATGTCAATAATTAGGAGATACCACTCAAATAGGAGTGCAACTCAGGTCAATTGGGTGTCAAACCATGCTCAACCAAAGGTATAAAACCTTCAACCCAAGCTCAATCCATGTTCAAATTGTTTGAGTTCAGATTAGCAAAATCAATCTGAGAGCGGATTGAAAAAGGAAATCTAAACATAAATTACATGAATAAAACTCGCCTGTAAGATTGAAAAGGGAGCTGGAACAACTATGTAGTCGTTAGTGGCTTCTTTCTGTTCACTAGTTTTCAATTTGCCAATAGCTCATTTATAAATCTTCAAAAGTCAACCTTGAATTTAAATCTCACTCTCCTTAAGTTAATGTACAAACATTAAGTCAATCTCTATCACTTTCTAAATTCATTCATAATGTACAAAAAATCTCAGGATCAATTTGGCAAGATTTAAAGTCATCAATAATCTACAAATCTCAGGCTCACTTTAGCTCGTTCATAATGATGTACAATTAGAATTTAAATCTCATGCTCATTTTAGAAAATAATGTGATAGTGATAGGCAATATAAATAGGTAAAGGTGTAAAAACATTTAAATGGCTAGCATCTTAGTCTAATTGTAAACTCTCTGTCCTAAAATATGTTCCCTATTTCCTCTTATGATGTCGGATGTCCAAGAAGGCTAGAATTAGTGTCCCTCTAGAAAAGTAAATGAACAAACATTGAAATTTCTCCAAACTATCCTTGTGAATAGAATAAATCTTAAAATTTTGTAAGGTAAATTTTGGAATCTTAAGAGATGCATACGCTTAATGCGTGTCCTATTTAAAAGGTTGAAATCCCCAAAACTCATATTGGGCTGTAGGAAGTGGTATAATCCAAAGTACAGATAACATAAAACATGACATGCCAGTTTAATTCTAATCCGTCTTCCACTTTTTATTATAGTGTAGTAATAAATTTTTTAAAGTTCTCCTTTTATTGGAAAGTCAAAAGTCTTCAACTAAAGGACAGTGATTTTTTTTTTTTTTGATAAGTCAAAAGGACAGTGATTTAAACCAACCATACTTACTAAGAGCTGTTAATTGCCCAGTTATGAAGCCCTAGAAGATGCAGTTAAAGCTGAGCAATGCTAAAAGAACTTGTTCCTACCCTGATCCGAGCTCAAACATAGCAGGAAATACATTTGCCAAGCTCGAGCAATTTCTTCAGTAAGTTGAACTACTTGGCTTGGGTCAGCTAATCATTAACCAGATATCAAATCAAACTCACCATGGATTTGGAACCAACTAGGTTGGGCTGATTTACATCAAAATTCAAACCCTTTTTAAGGAAGGGCACCCATAATGCCTACAATTCAGCACGATTCGTAAATCTTGTCAGCTATACCTCTACCTACACAAATTACTTACTCTAAAATGAACCGCTACCTTGTCCACTGATCACACGAAAACCTCATGCTAGAATACCAAAGCCTTCTTTGGAATTAGTGGATCAGCCCATGCTTTCTTTAGTTATTTCCTCTAACATTCCCTTATTTACAATGCTATGCAAAATAAGTCCATCATGTTAGAAAGATGTTTAATCATTCCTTTAATCTAACATATCAATAGATTTATATGAAACCGGCACCATAATGTCATTCAGTTGATGTTTAAGGTAGCATGTAAAAGTTAACCATAGAAAACAGTTAAGAAAGTGTTAAATGGAATTCCCTTGAAATATCGTGCCATAAATATATTCCACAGCATTATTGTCAATAAGTTGGTACTAGCTAACAGAATAAATTCTAACTGATACTAATTGGCAAATATCTGACCCAAGGGTAGTCAACCTACCCAAATTAACTGCCCAAGTTGGCTTTGCATTGACCCCTAATAGATGGGCCAGGTTCAAGTTGTTATCTCCCAACACAGTGATAAACATGTTGATATCGCGTTGGGACTATAGGACCTTACCAGAGACAAGGTAAATTCAACCAACTTGCATACTGTTAATGGGTTCCTTGACACTGTGAAGGGTTCAAAGGTAACAATTAAGCATCTTTTGAATGTCTAAGACCAATAAATCACACAAATATGAATCACATATTTCCCAGATAAAAAGTTAACATCCAACAATTTTAATTCTATGAGAAGGAAAAAGGGGAAAGGAGAGAGACTGGATTTAAGGATGAACCTGAAGGAGAAGCATGGAGTTGTTGTGCACGATCATTGCAGCTACCCAATAACGCAGAAGGCAAACCCTCTTCCTTTTCAATTGACCGATCCTCTTCTTCAATTGCCTCAAAAACACTAGATCTTAGTTCAGCCTAGCACGGAATCAAAACATGTCAAAGAGAATCACAAAATTTGACTTTAAAGCACGAGCAATTAAAAGATAAAATGCATGAAAACTCATCTTGCTCCTACAACAGTACCCCAAAGTGACAGAGATAAGGAAATAAGGCCTTTATCTAGCATACACTGCAGATAACCAATTCCAACAACGCAAACACACACACGTGTACTACTCAATGGTGAGTAGCAATATATTTATTCTAAGAGTACTTGTCAAAAAAATATATTTATTCTCTTAGAATGCCAATGGGTTTTACCCTCCCACCACGTGGTAAGGTGAAAGCACCTGGCACTGCTTAGCGCCACACAAAAGGCATATGAATATAAAATCCATAGTTGCAAACAGAGAACAATTAACTGTATTAGAGTTTGAATGAGCATTGTCAAACTGCAGACATTGTTGAGGTAGATGTGTGCTAATATAACAAACATATGAAACGGGTGAAGAAGCATATATTGAAGATAAATTAGAGAAATTTGACTAAGATAGTTTCGTTATGTACAACACAACACAATAACTGCACAAATGATTTAATCCACAATGAGGGTAATGCTATAAAAGGGGGAGGACCAAAATTAGTACAGTTAGGATGGAAAATAAAGATATGATCGCACGTGATTTATCTCAAATTATGATTTATATTCACGAAACATGATTCATTTAACCAACCCCATATAGTTGGATCAAGTTTTCTTGAGTCCGGATAACTAGTTTGTTCAAGGCTCTGTTCAGTCCAAATAGGCAAGTCTAAATGTAACAGCCAGCAACCGTTCTTAGTTTTGCATTTGCTTACCTGTGGTCATGAGGGCAGGCCTTGGTGCAACAGTAACGTTGCTCCATTGTGACCTGAAATCAGTCTCTCCCTATCCAAAGGTAAGGCTGCGTACATTTTACCCTCCCCAGACCCCGGAATGGCTGGAGCTCGTGCACTGGTTAGCTTACCTGTGGTCATGATGATAACCCATAACTTACCACACTACTCTACAAAAAATAGCAGAACCCTGATATCTGAAATGCTCTTAGTGACATTTTACTGTCATTAAGATAAAAATAAATAAATAAATAACTCAATCTTCACTGGAACTGCTGCTCAGCAGCAATAAATCAAATCCATGAAAAGCTTCCTCAATTACTGCATTTTACACACACGCATTTCACCACCCGATCCAGCAATCTTTTGCATCTCGTGCTTACAAAAACATGCATATATAACAGACACAATTATATAAACATATATGTAGCAATTAGTACTAAATTGGAATGGCAATGAGACGATCTACGAAGAGAAAAATGAAGAGATTTACTCGGATCTTAGCGAGGACGCCTTTCTTTTCTAGGGTTCGAGTTACGAGGGTTTTCAGGTCCATCATCTCTCTCGTGTAATCGTCCATCTCCTCTTCTTACTGAGTTCACTCGGCTCGCTCACCCCTCCTTTTCGAGTTTTTTGAGGTTTCAATGTTCGATCCCTTCTGTTTGGTGTGAGAGAGAGATGGTGCCTTGGTAGGCATTAAGGCGAAGGCTTGAGTAATAGTGTAATAATACTAATCTTATAGGGCTGATTTTGAAGATAGTTATTTGAATTGGATAACGTTTAATTAGGATGTATTTTCGAATTTGAATAAAATATATTCAGATTAAATAATTTTTCCCACAAGATTCTAAGACCTAATTTCAATAAATTCCAATTTAGAATAAGAACAAAAAAAATATGTAAGTGACATTCTAAACCTGATTAAAAAATATCAACTAAATTATATTCATTTTATGTTTGGTTACATCTAGATCCGAATGTTAATCACCATAAAAAAATAAAAAAATAAAAATATAATTCTTCTCCACCATCTTTAACACTGATAAATAGTATATCTTTAACACAAACACAACACCCACCGAGCAGATTCATCATATGGAAAAGCCATTATGGAAAGCCATTGATTTTCTATAATAAATATAAAAATGTTATAAGTACAAGATATTGAAGACATAAATATTGTATAATAAATTTAACGTTTAAAACTTAGATGTTTATTAAACAATTTTTCACACTTTTAAATTCAACACATAAAATTTTAGTGTTCAAATTTTAGTATTTTAAATTTTTAGCACTTAATTTTAAATTTTATCAAACATTACCTCAAACTCAATATATTCTTAATCATTATGCTTTTCAACTTTTCATTAATTTTCTCCCCTCTTATTCATTAAAACACTATTGACTTCCAAGATAACATGAATATTACTCCCCTATTCGTCAACTTTATAACAGTAACTACAAAGTCAAATCATTTTTTTTTTATTTTTTCTTTCATAAAATTAATTTCAACTTCTTTTTTCTTTTGGGGACTCAACATTTTTATTTTATAATTTATTGTTAATTTTTTTTTATTGATAGACAAAGGTTGCATGCATAATTTAGATTGGCCATGAAAACAAGTGAAAACAAATGTTGCATATATAGATATATATATACACATAGGATTGTTCACATGTTCACTGGTGTGCAAGGAATTATACACGAATTAAATCATCACCGTTGGATATAAAAACATAAACTATTTTTTTAACCGCCAAATAGAATCTGACAGTTACTACTTCAAGTGCACATGCATTTTCTTGCACATCAGGAAGCTAGAGAACAATTCTGTATATATACATACATATATATTTGCCCCGGTAAAATGCAAGCATAACTTATGCAACATAAAGTCATGTTTTTAACTTTTTACTCCTTTTATTCTTTTTTGCTCGGATTGGAAGTTGAACTATTTTTATTTTTTTTCCCCAATTCTAAAGCACCACTTTAATCCAACCGAATATAACATTACATTATAATTTCATTTGTTTGATTATTTGTACCTTGCAAGAGACAAATATAGTATACTCTGTATTTCACAATTGTAGACTACAGTGGACATTTAAATATTAATTTTTATTCCTATAAAAATAAAAAATAAAAATACCCTAATTGTTAGCTTGATATGTTTGATATATTTGGGGAGGAGAGAATAATGTGATTGATTTGAAAATAGGTAGGAGGATCATATGATGGTGTGAAAATAGGTAGGAGGATCATATGATGGTGTGATATATGAAGCGATAAGTGTGTTTTTATATATACATATGATTTTATAAGTTTCAAATAGTATTTCAATCCTTGTAAAAAAAAAAAAATTAATAGTATTTCAATCCAACCAAATGACAATACTGCCATTTCAAAAAGAGAATACCTTGTTAGTTTAGGGCCTGTTCGGAGGCCCATATCTGATATTGTTTTGGTGTTTTGGTTTTGGTTTTGGGTCAATATCATGTTTGGAGCGGGCTGATATGGTTTTTAACAGTGCCAAAACATTATCATTTTTGGGCAAAACCCATATCAACATTTTGGTGATATTAGACTGATATGGCACTGTAGCGGTGAATTGTTCTCAAACCAAAACCAAACCAACCCTCGTTTTTACTGTAGCAGTGATATCATGTATATAAGGTCGCATATCAGATTTAGGGCATTTTTTCAGCGTCGTTTCTCTCTCTTCGCGTAGCTCCTTGGAGGCGACTTCAGTGGCGATCCAACCTCTTCCATCACCGATCAGGCAGAGCTCTTCCACCAGGTACCTCATTTTGTGTCTCTGTTTGTATCTATAGATCATATATATCTTCGCTTTTGAGATTTACATTTGGGAGGTCCTCGTGTTCACTTTCTCTCTCTAAAATATTGTGACAATCACTTTCTCTCTCGCGTTTCCAAGTTCTGATCTTTATTCCAATCATGTTGTGAGTGTTGTAATTTAGGGTATTTGCGTCCAGATCTTAAGTTTCATGAGGCTGTGACGGAGATCTAGGGTTTGATTTTAGCCCTTTTCTGGGTTGTTTATTCTATCAACCATGGTTCTGATTTAAGGGTTTATGTGTCATCCATCGATTGCGTGTGTTGCAATTTCATATAATTTAGTTCTTGAATGACAGTCTCATCAATTTTACTCTTTTCTTTAAAGGCCTCTCGGACCTCAGCTTGTGCCTTCTCCAATCTCCATTACTCTTGGGTTCTTTAGTAGTTCTGACATTGTCCATGCTATGGTTGTTGCAGAAGTCTCACTCCCTGCCACAAAAATGTCCTGAAATTAAAAAATGATTGAGTTACCATGAAATAAAAAAGATCATGAATGTCAGTTAATTTGTTAGCATTGCTGAATTTCCATATTATGCCATGTCTATTTAAACTAAATCAGTACTACTTCTAATTAATTTGTAGTCCAAATTAATGGTATTACATGAAATGAATATTGTCAGTTATGCTAGCAGTATAATACTTTCATATGCTGGTCAATTCATGTTCAACTCATGAGTCCTAACTTCTATTCTCTCTCATCATCCTCGTGTAACATGAACACACGAGAGCAATCTTCGTGAGTGCTTTTTCAGTTCAGATGAGTCTCATCCAGTGTGTTCTACTATTATGTACCACTTTCCTTCACCTTGCTCTTAGATATGTTAAACTAGTAGTTAGTGTACAAACTGCAACAAAGAGCTAACCTCAAATACTAAATTTTGACTACAATTTTTGTTTTATTTCTGCAAAAAACAATTTTAAAATGTTGAAAATTGTTTTATATCTTAATCTTTGCAGTGCTTCATGTATCTATGTATTATGTGTGGATATAAATATATACATGAAATATTGTAAAATTGTATGAATATATACATACCAAAATCACAGCTTTGATGTTGTCAGTTGTGAGAGAGAAGTTGAGATCACTACTCTTCTCAACCTATAGGAGAACATCAACTAGAGAAATGGAAACTTATCTAATTTGAATCACCTAGCTTGTATAGAAATTGACTTTAAAATTGAGGAAGGAGACTGATTTTTAAGAAAATCATGTGCTTGATTTAATTGATGAGACTGATTTTTAAGAAAATCATGTGCTTGATTTAATTGATTTTGACAAATAGAATTTGACTGAAGAAAATGGTGAGAATTTGAACTGAAGAAAATGAAGAAAATGGAAGAAGACTGATTTTTATCACATTTTTACTTCATTTTTTCTTCTTTTTTGTCCCTTATTGAAGTGTTTTATAGACAGTACCTTCTTTACTTATCATTAACGTGTTGAATTATGAGTCAAAACACAATTCAATGTACTAAACTGTTCAATTACTTAATAGTAATCAGATGGACATGAACAATGACAATGTTGAGCAATACCCATCAAGAGACATTCATTCTCTTGATGGTGAGAATGGTGAGGATGTTGTAGTTATTGAATAGGCCGATGTCGCTGTTTGGTGTGATGCCCATTAAGAGAAATTCATGCTCTTGATGGAGGAAGAGGTTGGAAAAGGAAATCGTACAGGCACGACTTTTAATCCAATTGGGTGGACACATATTGTGGACGCAATGTTATTGGAAATTGGGAAGAAGTACACGAAGGACCAATGTAGACAAAAATTCAATAATATAAGAGCACTGTACAAATATTGCAAACAAATATTATCTGAGACTGGTGTAGGGTACAACAGTGAAACTGGGATGATTGAGTTGGAAGCTGAAAGATGGGTTCGATTGTGCAAGGTTAGTATTTCAATACGTGTCTATTTACCATACATACAGTTAGTAATTAGTGATTTAGTATTAAAAGGGTTTGATGAACAATAATTGTAAGCTAAAAACGTGTAGGTTCTCAAGCATGGCAAAAAAATAAAAAAACATGGGTGTAAGAATTATGAGCAGATGGTAAGGATTTTTGAGAATACACATACTACTGGCAAGCATGTTCATCCTTCTACAAAGCCACCCAGACCTTACCAAGTGCTAACAATGCCTCAAATGGCAACGCATAAAGCTTAAATTCATAACACTGAGGGCAATGCAGGCATGACTGATGTAGAACAACCTAATGTAGAAGGACCTATTGACCTCAGTCCTACTCCCAAACCTGTAGCTAAGAAACAAAAGAAAGAAACTTTTTCAGAAACAATGTCTTTAGTGATGGAATGTTTGACTAATATTGGGAACGCGAAAGCTGATAAAATTGCAAAAGTCATAGCAGAATCATCTTCTAGTTGTCAACCATCTCGATTACCGAAATGCCTGAAGTGACATCTTCCAGTAAAAAAGAAAAAGAAATGGATCCCCAGCTTGAAGAGTGCGTTAAGATCGTCAACACATTAGTGGGGATTGATGATACCCATTATGCTAAAATCATAAGGATGTTTGGTGAGGACAAGGTGTGGAGGGACATATTTCTTCGCATTCCTGATGAGAGGAAGGTTGGGTGGGTGATGAATCAGGCTCTGTGATTTCTTCGATATCTTACTTTTATGTGCTTTTGGATGACTGTTTTATAACTGCTTTTACATTACTGTTGGATGACTGTAATGAATTTTTCTTATCTACTGTTTTTACATTATTGTTGGAAAACTGTATTTAATTCCTCTATCTACTGCTTTTAAATTAATGCTGGAAAACTATTTATGTTCTATATCTATTGCTTTTACATTATTGCTGGATAATTGTATGATTTGGTATGTCTTTCCCATTTTGCTTAATTTTTATTACAATAACTGCTTCTGTTTATTCTTAAATAGGATAGTACCTATGGATATAAGGACAATATTAACCATTTATGATGATGATAATGAGGAGGAAATTCTTGTATTGATCGCAGCCGTATATGAGTACTATTATAAACATTTTGATAAGCAACGTTGTAGGGATTCCATGTTGCAAGGGGAAGATTACATATTCGAGCTCTTAAATGGACATGAAGATAGGTGTTATGAAAATTTTCGAATGTACCCAAACACCTTTAGGGCATTGTGTCGTGAGTTGAAATTGTTAGGATTGAAAGACTCAACATTTCTAACGGTAAAAGAACAAGTTGCAATTTTCCTAGTTACTGTGTCTCACAATGAAAGGAATCGCGTCGTTGCTGAAATATTCCAACACTCTACATCCACAATTTCATATCACTTTCATACTGTATTACAGTTAATTTGTGAGTTTGGGACTAAGATTATTATTCCCCCAGATTTGAATGAAATTCCTAAAGAGATAAAGAACAATCCAAAGTCTTACCCATACTTCAAGAATTGTGTAGGAGCCATAGATGGTACTCATATCCATGCTGTAGTGCCAGTTGACTAACAAATACCCTTTCGTGGTAGAAAGGGTGATACGACCCAAAATGTCATGGTCGTGTGTTCACTTGATATGAAATTTACATACATTCTAGCAGGGTGGGAAGGGTCTGCTAATGATTCGAAGATTTTAAATGAGTGCATTTAGAATGAGGATTTCAATTTTCCATCACCACGCGAAGGTAAAAATATTACCTTTCCATATTTATGCATTTAACATTACAAATACGTTAATTTTAATACTTAACATACTTAACATGACAGGTAAGTTTTATTTAGTGGATTCTGGGTACGCCAATCAACCGGGGTTTTTGGCCCCTTACCGGGGTCAACGTTACCACATGCAGGAATATCAAAGAACATACTAGAGGACCACGTGGTAGAGAAGAGGTGTACAATTTTAGGCACTCGTCATTGAGGAATATCATAGAGCGATGTTTTGGGTTGGTAAAAATGAGATTCGCTATATTGAAGCAAATGCCCCCTTATCACTTTGACACTCAAGTTCTTATTGTCATTGCCTGTTGTACATTGCATAATTTCATAAGATCCCAAGGTGAATCTGATGAAATTTTTTATTCTGAAACCCCTCAATCTTCACAAAATGAACCTGATGTGGATAACGATGTTCAGGTGGTCAGTGCTACTAATACACAGATACGACAGATGAATATTTATCGTGATGGTATTGCCAACTTAATTTGGGAGCACTGTAATCACTAATTATAAAACTGTCAATAGTATGTAGAATTTTAATATAGATGACTGTAATAACTAATTATATTACGTAAATTAAACTCAGATGCTCCTTATTTATGGATAACTGTAATAACTAATTATATTAGGACATCAAATATTAAATGCTTTAGTACTTGTAGGCGCACTTATGTATAGGCTTGAAGGTGAGCGACCACAATGTGCATGTGGTAGAGGTCCTATGCATCTGTATAGGGCTCGAACTCCAAAAAATGATGGTTGACAATTCTATAGGTGTCCAGCTCGGGAGGTATGGTTTTAAACTTTTAGGTGCTATTTCTGTTACTGTTTCCTAATTGTATAATTTATATTTCTTATAGTCACATATGAATGCATTTATGTGGGTGGATGTGTTGCACCAAGGTGCACAAGTTGAAGAACAGGTTCAATCTGACTTGGACAGAGTCATTGCAATGATTCAAAATAAACAATGTAGACAGAAGTACATGCTCTTCCTAGGTTGTGGATGTCTTGCTATCACAATTATGTTTATTGTGATTGTCCTCTTGTTGCTCATTATCGTTGTTATTGAAAGATGAAGTTAGATAAACTTCCATCTTTTGTAGTATATGACATGTAATACGTATTTAGTTAATTTCCTGTGTTTCATTTGGTATATAATATATACTTAAATAGTATATTTTGAACTGCGTATTAGTTGCTGTTGTGTTCTCTTCTCTGTCATTTTGGGAGTGAGCTTTAGGGCATTTGTAAAATTTGCCACTGAGGTCATTTACACTCTATTTGCAACTTAGTCTGAAAAAAGGTTAAATATATCTTATTTACTACTTCTAATTATTTTACTCCTACCGTGTGTTATTTTGTTTTTATCTAATGTTGTTCATGTGTTTTGTTTTACACGAGGTCATTTACACTTTAAATTTACAACTAAGCCTGAAAAAAGGTTAGATATATCTTATTTACTACTTCTAATTATTTCATTCCTACCGTGTGTTATTTTGTTTTTCTCTAATATTGTTTATGTGTTTTGTTTTGCAAGAGGTCATTTACACTTTAAATTTACAACTAAGTCTGAAAAAATGTTAGATATATCTTATTTACTACTTCTAATTATTTCATTCCTACTGTGTGTTATTTTGTTTTCCTCTAATGTTGTTCATGTGTTTGACTTTGCATGAGGTCATTTACACTTTAAATTTACAATTAAGCTTGAAAAAAGGTTAGATATATCTTGTTTACTACTTCTAATTATTTCATTTCTACCACGTGTTATTTTGTTTTTATCTAATATTGTTCATGTGTTTTGTTTTGCATGAGGTCATTTACAATCCAAATTTGCAGCTTAACCTGAAAAAATGTTAGATATATCTTGTTTACTACTTCAAATTATTTCATTCCTGCCGTGTGTTATATTGTTTTTCTCTAATGTTGTTCATGTGTTTTGTTTTGCATGAGGTCATTTAGACTCCAAATTTGCAGCTTAGCCTGAAAGAAGGTTAGATATATCTTGCTTGAATTAAATTTGTGGACCGTGTTCCTTGTTGAAATAATTTTGTGGGCGGTGTCCCTTGTTAAATGAATTTTGTGGGCGGTGTCCCTTGTTGAAATAATTTTGTGGGCGGTGTCCCTTGTTAAATGAATTTTGTGGGCGGTGTCCCTTGTTGAAATAATTTTGTGGACGGTGTCCCTTGTTGAAATAATTTTGTGGGCGGTATCCCTTATTGAATTAATTTTGTGGGCGATGTCCCTTGTGTTTATTGTGTTTTGAAATTTTGGAAATGTCCATTTTTAAGGGAAAGTCATGCCGGATTTTTTTAAAATAAAATAAAAAAAATTGAATTTAACTCTGCTTTATATTTTGCTACTATAGGTAATGTCTTGTTTTACATTCAAATTCATTTTTTGCTACTACATTGAAGGACATGGCAATAAGTTGTAGGCAGTGGCACCAGTGGGATTGAAAGGAAGCATTCTCCAGTTGCTGCAACTCCAGAAAGCTAGTGATCTCTTAGTTAATCAAATGGAGGCCTATGTAAGTATGAAGTGGGTGTACATTTTATGGAATGAATATTAATGATCTCCAGTTGTGCGTACATTTTATGTAAGTGTAATGAAGTGTGTGTGTACACACATACTATTTTTAAGGAATGTCTAGCTCCTTATATGTGGAAGTATATATGTGAATGGTGCAACACTCAAGTTCTTAAGATTATGATGTACAAAGCAAAACTATACGTGTAAGTATATATGTGAACGTTGTTCAGTCTTGTAAGAGGGATCTTCCTTGATTGCTTGCTTTTAATCTTTATTCATATTTATCAATTCTGTTTATGGTTGGATATTGTATGAAATATTCATAAGTCCGTTATCAAAATAAATACTCAAGAAAAGGGGAAATGGTCTCGTGACTAAACAAAAAAACATATTACCAATTTGAAGGACCTCCACTACAAAATTTCAAACTAATCTAAGTGAAGTAAAACTATTCACAAGCTTTAATGTCTTTTTTTTTTTTAAATTTTAACAAATTATCTCAAATCATAAAGAAAAATGGACTATTTACATATAAACTTATAATTGTATTCATATATATAATTTTTCAAAACAAAAACAAAACAGTCTTTACCAAACAGGTATTCTGTTATTGATTCAGAATTTTTGATAACAAAACATTAGTCCCAAACGTGTTTTGTTTTCGGATTCCTTAAAACACATGACAATACCAAACGCGTTATCATGTTTTTGATATACAATTATCAAAAACAAAACAATCGTTACCAAACATGGATCCGATTTCTACTAAAAACATATTAATACCAAAACGGTTGTTTTCATATCATACCAAACCATAACATATAACGTTATCGCCATTCAAACAGACCCTTACAGTATACAAAATACAAAATACATTGTTAGTTTACAAAATGTCAGAATACATTGCCATTTAAAAAAGAGAATACATTACTAACAATGTATTTTGTATTTTGTTCATTTTTTTTTTATGTTAATTATTTAGATTAATTATAATGACACTCCCTGAGGTTTGACATATTTACGGTCATATATAACTTAGCTGTTTTTTGAATAAAGACACCTCGTGATAATTTTAATCCAAACAAGCCTTTAAAACATTAGAAAAGATGATATTGCCCCTTTAATATTTAATTCATTTTTATTGTACAATATCAGAACTCATGAAAAGTCAAAATTGCCCCATATATATATATATACATTAGTACCCTTATACATTATATATATTATTACCCATATATATATATATATACATATATGTATGGAAGAGTAGCGGGGAAGAGAGAGCAGCAGCCGCCGCCACCACCACAACCTTCACAACCACCATTTCCTTCCTGGTTCCACCACCATCACACAAACCCACACAAACCCAACACCTCAAAATTACACATATATATCTATATATACATATGATTCAAGTGAAGAGGGTCCTTGGCGACAACTGAGGTGATGAAAGGCATTTGACTGGGGTTCAATACATACAAAAGCAGAGGCAACTATTAAACGCGACCGAGTCCAACTTGGACCTCTGCCACCACCGAGTCCAACTCGAATGAGTCAGTGCCCATCATCGCCGCTGTCAATCAGCCGCACCAACTGCTGCCGATTCCATCCAGCCAAGCTATCCACCGATATTCAGTGCTATCAGCCAGTCACCCACAGCCGAGGTCGTCTTCATCACGGCCGAGCCCTCACCAACCGCTGCGAGTCCTCCATTGCCGAGCCATCCACAGTTAAGCTCTCCACTGGCTAAGCTGAGTTCATCCTCGCATAACTCACCACCAGCCCGTCCCCGCCGCAGGGATCTCCTTAATGCAGAGCTCAGAACGGCAGCGGTGAAACTGTGCAGCGCTCGACCTTTGCGCCATCGGTTATCGAGTTTGGTAAGGGTTGATTGGTTGGGTTTGGGAGAGGTTGGGTTTGGGGTCTAAGCATCAGTGTATGAGATTGGGGGCTTGAGATTTATATATATATGTCTATAAATCTGTGTACGTGCAATTGGGATTTTTTTTTGAATTTTTCATGGGTTCAATTGGCTGGGTTTTGGTTTTTTATGGGTTCAATTAATTGGATTTTTTTGTGGGTTTTTCATGTATTCAATTGATGGGTTTTGGTTGTAGTGGCAGAGGTTGCAGTGGTGGGTGAAGAGAGATAAATAATAGGTGGGCAGTATTGGTGGTGGCTATGGTAGGGTATTTTGGTCAATAAAAAAAATAATTGTATTAAATAAATTGGTAATTGAATGTGTTAAAGGGCAATAATGTCAATTCAAGACCATTGTGGTCTCTTTGTTAACTTTTTTTCAAACATAAGGGGGTATCATCGTTTAAAAATAACTCAACTAATATATAGCTATTATTATGTCAAGCCTCATAGAGTGTCGTTGTAATTAACCCTAATTATTTTATTGTATTACTTACAAAAAAAAAAAAAAGAAAAGGAAAAAAGTATAAAGAAATTATATTAATGAAATAATCATTTTAAAATTAATTCAAGTGTAAGCAATCTTGATAATGTGATGATTATTTTAAAATTAATTCATAAAGTTTATTTTTTTGTAAATAATATTAGAGTAATTTTAAAACTATAAAAATGTGAGTGTAACTCTTACAAAACTCATCATATGAGTGAAATTTATTCGTGGCTTAATCGGTAGAGTATCTAATTATTCGAGCGGTATACTCTACTCGGCTATCGTCTCAAAATACAGAAAAAAAGAAGTAATTTATCCTAATTATTTAGATATATACAATATTATAATTTTATATAAATAAAGACAAATATAGTATTACCGAAAAACTTTACTTTTGCATACTTATGTTAAAAAAAAGTAGAAATAATATACATATTTTCTTAAAAACTAATTAGGCTATTAGATAGTACAATTTACAATTATTTTAAAGTTTTTTTTTTTTTTTTTTGGGGAAAGTATTATCTTTCATGATAAATTCATAATTTAATTTAATTTTAATTTAATTTATTTTTGTGGGTTAGGTAATAAATTCATAATTTAATTCGTTAAAAAAAATCGTGTTAAAGTTCGGAATGCTCATATTACACCGATAATTAAAAAAATACAGTATATACGTGTGTATAATATTATATTCATTTTCATATATTTTTTTATTTTTATTTTTTGTATAGTTGTCCATGTTTGATGTTCGTAGAATTTCTCAAAACAAAATAGATTTGTGCGTTTGGGTTTTAGGCATTTTTTAACCTAAATAAACCCAGAAACACTTTACCATCTCATCCAGGCTCTGTGTTCACTTTCAAACCCTAACCAGTGTCTGAGATCAGAAAATCAAATCTTCGTTGCTTCAATTATATACACACAACACACACTACAAAAATCAAACTTTTGAGAGTATCTGCTCTGAAACTCTAGATCAAACATGCCTCCAAAGCAATCCAAAACCGATTTAGCGAAGAAGCAAAAAGTGGTCGAGGACAAGACTTTTGGGCTCAAAAACAAGAACAAAAGCAAAAATGTCCAGAAGTATGTGCAGAGCCTTCAACAAGCAGTTCAACCCAAAACTGACGCTTCCAAAATGGCTGCAAAGGTATTGTTTTATTGTTTTTTATATTGAAATTTCCCAATTTTGTAGATTTATTTTGTGGTAAGTGGATTTGTTTACTCTAATTGGGTTGTGTGAGCAGAAGAAGAAGGAAGATGAGAAGGCTAGAGAGAAGGAATTGAATGACTTGTTCAAGATTGCTGTTACTCAGCCCAAAGTACCAGTTGGTATGTACAACTGTACAATTCATATTTTAGCTCAGATTCAAAAGGAAAAAAAAGATAATCTCTTAGCTCTAGATGACCAATTTTCTTTTCTTTTATATATATATATATATATATATATATTTTGGGATAACTAAGATAACCAACCTAAATAAGAATGAGTTTTCTACAAGTGTATGTTTGTGGGTGTGTGAAGATATTCGATAAAACTCCACACAAGTAAGCCTTTGTTCCACTATTTGGTCAAGCTACCCGAAATCTTATTTTGCCATTCCACTATGTTAAGAGTGTGCTATTGGATATTTCCTATTGATTTACATCAACAATACACACACACACTGATACATAAAAACAATCACATGAAGCGCCTTAGCTCCAAACAGCTCGTGTAATTCTGTTCTATATATAGTTTTGATTTCATTAAAGAATACAAATGTAATAATAAAGAATACAAATGACACCCCCCCCCCCCCCCCCCCCCCCCCTTTTGCTCCTAGTACCCAATCAACTAAGTTTGTTTTTTTTTTTTTCAAAATTTCAGTATTAACTATAAATGTTAACAGGTCTACTGCTTATGTTTATCATACATGCACAATCATGAACAACATGTCTCTGATAATGATTATTATAGCTCCAGTTATGTGGAACGGTTTAATTGTAATGGAAGTTGGGTTTTTGGTTAGGTGTTGATCCCAAGTCTATATTATGCGAGTTTTTCAAGGTGGGGCAGTGTGCAAAGGGTTTCAAATGCAAGTTCTCGCACGATTTGAATGTTCAAAGGAAGGGTGAGAAGATTGATATTTACAGTGATCAGCGTGACGAAGGTGATTGAATTGATGCTTTTTGATTGATTTTATGTACTCCTCTGGTCTTTCTATTTACTGTCTATTAATATGTGTATACTAGTATTTGTTTTGGGTTGCAGCTTTGGTTCTTTTTTTGTTCTTATCCATTCTATTTGTTCTATCAAGGAGATTCTAAATTAATTCTTGGTGCGTTTTGTTCTCTTAGAAACCATGGAGGATTGGGATCAAGATACATTGGAAAAAGTTATCGAGTCAAAGAAGAACGAGTACAACCAGAATAGGCCAACTGAAATTGTATGTACCCCTATATGCTTGAATGTATTTCAGCCATACAACATTGATATCATACTTTGTGCTCAATGTGGCATTGGGAAATGAAGCTCCTTCTCTATCCCTCCCCCTCATCTTTCATTATTAGTATTTGATTGATTTCCAGCTTCTGATGTGAATGCAAATTATTGACACATGACTTACCTTTGATATGTGACTATAGTTATTGCCATGATAGGCCTTATCTATTTGAACCTGATAAGGTAATAAGCTCCAGACATCTGTTGGTGATTATATTCTGGAAATCCTAACATAATTAGCTCCAGTCATTAGCTGGTGATAATATTTCTTGTTCCTTGGCGAAGTGCTTTTAATTTTGATATCACATGCTCCACAGGATAGTGCATAAAACAATTCATTATTTCCGCAGTCCTATGTGTTTCGGGGGTGTGGTCATTGATATAGGTACAGAATGAAAGTGGCTAGAATCATTTCTCATACTGGTTGGTAATTTTAAGCATGGCTAGTTAGGAATTGGATGGTGCATTCAACCCGTGCTGTTTGTTGTGTACATGGTACTTCCTGTCAACTTAGTTTTTATGGTTTGCCTCTTTGGTGAATAAAGCTAAGGGAGTGATGTAATAGTTCAACTAATTGTGGTTTCTCTGAAGCTTTTGCTTAAGAATTTGGATTGGTATTTCATTTATTAGGTTGATGTATAAGTCATTTTTGGTCTTGTAACACTGCGGTATTATTTAGAAGAGGTAGGCTTTAATCTGAAGTTATCTAGACTAACATTGAGGCCATGTTTGGTATGCGTTTTGTTTCTGCTGTTTTTGTTTTTGGGCTACTACAGTGTTGATTTTGGCAACAAAAGCATGTTTGGTGCAGCCTTGTTTTATTTTACACAGTGCTAAAACACTTCGTGAACAGTGGCTCAAAACCAAAACACCAAGAAGTTGTTTTTTCTTGTTTTGACAACTGTTCATGGCCCAAAACCATAACTGTTCGTGTTTCTGTTTCCGACATTTCCACAGCAAAACATCGTTCCCAAACGTGCTTCCGATTTTTTTCCAAAACACTCCTACAACAAAAACACTGTTTCTGCTTTAACCAAAACCAAAACGCCTAAAACAAAGCGCATGCCAAATGGGCCCATGAATATTTATGTTGTGACAAGTGAGACTAGCAGGCTATGTTGTTCACATGGGGTTAAATTAAATAGAATTATGGTGGGAGATGTTTGGCCTTTCTTCTTTTCGGATCAAGTTCTCTCTCTCTCTCAGAAGGAAATTTCATAAAAGGGTTGGCCTCTTAAATATATTTGTAAAGCTATGTTCCTGGAAAACTCGGACAATAGTTTTGAGAGTTCCGTGACAAATGGGGAGGTCGGAGTGAATATCTAATATATCGTGAAAAAGCAGTTGGCTTAACATTTGGCTGTAAATTCCACAAAATAGGGCAAGTTTAGCTTCATTGGCCAACAAAACAATAAACGAACAGCCTGGAAATCTGAACGTCTGTAACCATAACCGTAGTTATTTGCAACATTCTAGTTAGTTTGCAACTACTTTCTGGAGCCAAAGAAGAATATATTGCTATAGGAAATCATTCGCAATTCTTTGTTAATTATCCTTGTCAATAATAAATCATGTAAGCATTTATTACATGTAATTCACTTTTTAGGTTCATGTAAGGTTTAAACATAATTGTGTCATGTAAGTCCTTCAGTTGTTCTCTATCTAGAACATGTAATCTTTATCAACAAATGTTAATGGACTGATGAGCAGGTTTGCAAGTACTTTTTGGACGCAGTAGAGAAGAAACAGTATGGTTGGTTCTGGGCTTGCCCAAATGGTGGCAAAGATTGTCACTACAGACATGCTCTTCCTCCAGGATATGTGTTAAAATCTCAGATGAAGGCGCTTTTAGAGGAAGAGGCTGATAAGATGCTGCCTATTGAGGAAGAAATTGAAAGTCAGGTGATCATCTTTGCTCCTTTTAATTATTATTGGGCAATCCATCTTCTGTATTAAAGTAGGAAATTAGGAATTCCTTTGTTCATTTGTAAATTCATCCTCTCAATACCAATATTTATTGTTTTTTTCCCCTTCTGTTATTGCACTCCATTGGTTCTTATGATGGTTCATCCATACATTTATCTTATTTATTTGACCCCATACATCATTTTTGTTCAGCTTTTGACAGTTCTTATAATTGATTGATTGATTGATAAATTTTTTCAGCGTTCCAAACTAACGGCTTCAACTCCAATGACTACTGAGTTGTTCATGCAATGGAAGACGAAAAAGATGGAAGAAAAAGAAGCTGGCTTGGCTGCCCAGCGAGCAGATAGGGCTAAGAATGACCGCATGAGGTATTGTCGCTCTTTTTGTAACATTCAGCTAGTTATGTCCCTTTGGACATGGTATTGATATAATATTACATTCTCTTTAGTGGTCGCGAGTTGTTTCTTTCGGATTCAAGCTTGTTTGTGGATGATGCTGAGGCGTATGAAAAATACAACAGAGAAGAAGAACCTGATGTTGCAGAGCAGAAGGTAGTCCTGCATCTTGTATTTGATTTTAGTTTGATTACAGATTCTAATGTCTTTATGGCGGGACAATGAATTTTTGCTTCTGCTTTGTGCAAGTAATACTAGTAGTATGTGTCCCCTTTGTATTTGGAAATAAGGTCATTTGATTGAAACATCAAAACCTTATATAGAGTAAACTAAGCAGCATACTTTGCTGCGTTGCTGTTGAGGTATGTTTATTTATGTAGTTGGGCCAAAAGTTGGAAGTTAATTTGAATTACATGTCCTGTAAAAAAGATGTCTGATGCAATGATTACAAAAATGAGATAAGGAGATTTGGTCAAATCATTATTATATAATTTAGGCATGCTATGCTTTTCTACTTGGAGACTCAGTTATCTTCTAACATTTTTAAGATTTGAACCAATGAGTTGTGTGATCTGTTTCACCAATCTTCACAACTCAATTCTCCTAAAATCCTATGCAATCACTGCACCTATTATTCTATTGTTCTAGTTCTTCCTCTTCTTTTTTGGAATCCATCTTTGATGGTAGCTTCCAACCTTTGGATGTTGCCCTTGCAGCGAGATCTTGGTTGTATTGGGGTATATTCGGACTGATTCAAAGGTACAACATAGGTTTTCCTTGTTCACTTGTGGAAGCTGCGAGGCATAGGAAAGCACAAACAAACCCAAAGAGCCAAAGAGGCGGATTCTTCTCTAGTTTATGGGAACTTGGGAGCTTTCTTCGTCTTGGAGTAATTGAATTTGAATTCTTGTCTAAAAAATTGAGGTATGCCTGATGATGTAGAATAGGGAAAGAAGAGAGGAGAAAGAGAATAAAAGGAGAAGAGAAGAACAATGGAGAAAAAGGAGAAACAGAGGAGAGAAAAGGAATTTAGGGAGGAAAATTAATAAAAATCGTAAATGTCTTAGTCCTGTTACTTGGAGGTCTTAGGCAAACACTAAACAAACCTAAACATTAGTAAATTGTAAATCCTACTGAAAAGATAAATACCAGTCCCTAAAAATAATGATAGGGTAGAATTGAGAAGGAAATTAACTCCTAAAGATTGTGTTGAAAAAAACTCCTTTTTTGATCCATTTCTACTGTGTCGAAGATTACTCAAGCAGCACAAGGTGGATTGATCCTTATCTCATGTATCACCAGTACAGCCATAACACTCTGGGGGTGCATATGCTGCTATCCTATTTTCTAGAAGAGTACTCTTCTTTTTTGTAAATGTATTTCAGATGAAAGTTTTGAAAATTGAAAATTCTATATTTCTATTTATTAGTGAATTTTATGCCTCCACATTTGTTAATTTTTTTTTTAAGCAACAGGATAAGGGGTGAAGATGGTGTTCAGTATCTTTTGCAGACTCAAAACCAAGCATGTGGTTTTGCTACCAACATGCCTTACCAGCTAAGATAGCTGGCACCATCCTTCAAAATTATTAGTTATTTGAGGGTTGACTCTAGTATGGTGAAATTGCCAGAATTACCAAGCAAAATTTGCAAGTTCTTTTATTGCAATTGCTATATAAAACATGATGGGCTGGCATCAAATACTGTAAATGAAAAGGGTATACTAAAATTTCCAGAAGGTTCCAGACACTGCATTACTTAATTTATAGATATTTAAATTGAAAAATGCCTTCTCCAACCGTGAAGCCAAATAGTATGTTCTAATGTTGTTTGCAATGCTTTCTTAAGCTATGATCAGTAATCGTAACAGGTGAAAAAACAGTTCTTATTCATTATGTGCATGTGGCTACTGAAACAACTCAAGAAAATTGCTTCACGCAAAGTAAAATTGCTAGTGTTCTAATCACAAAATCTTACGGCATTTAACTTCCACGACCTTGATAGGTTGGAACATTTTTTAAGACGCTCATTTCGTATAGCCATTTTATATACACGCATAGATTCACGGTTAGGCATGTTTTGCATGAGAAATTTTGAAACCAGTTAGCTGGGCCTTCATGGTTTTGGTTGACTGTTCAATTTCAGGTCCAGGGCAATCCTTCTGCAGGAAGGCCAAGCTCTTCAACAAGCGCAGTTGTTGATTCTGAAGAAGTGCTTTCTGATGTTGATGATGACGATGATGAGCTGGACATAGATGAGTTAAACGAGCTTGAAGCAAGTTTGTCGAGAACATCCATTCAAATCCAAGAGCCCAGTATAAAGACTTCATCTTGAGAGAGAGAGAAAGGCTGGGATACCACTGCCTGAAGATGCAACATAGACTTATGAGCAATCCGACCATACTAGCAAATGCACTGGGTAATAAACAATTTATGTGTTAACCTTAGTGTTGTTGTTGGAATGAGGTGGATTATTTTGTGTTTTGGCAGAATCCAAGTTTTGATTCTGATTTTGTTTGCTGTGTCAACAGCATTTACTTCTAAGCATTGAAGCTTACAAGATAATAATACTTCCTTGTAACTCTGATGGCTTTATCTGTGTTTTTGAATGGTTGGTCTGCCTCTTTACTTATTTTGGGAAGGACCTGTATTTTCATGTTATTGGGGATTGAAGTGTGTTCAGCCCCTCTTAACTTGATTGTAATTTCAAATGCCACTGTCATCATTCTATATCTTCTGTAAGAAAGTTCTGTTTGCATAGCAATTTTCATGAATAAAAGAATACAGGGTAAACATATATGTGAAGCCACTGGGTATAATATGAGGCTAATCTGACAAATTTTTTCAAAACAATTTTGCTTCTTGGAAGTATTGCATGTTGGTATTTTTGGTTTTTTATTACCAAAATCACTCCCATACATTCATATGACTTTCAAGGGTTTCTGTTGCTGAGGGAGTGGGAGGAGTTTTTGGCATCAATTGACTTGGTCCATCCATTTACCTTGTACACGCTTCTTCGCTAGTGAACCCCTTCAACTAATGTTTTTTGCCAAAAAAAACCCTCCTCAACTTACCTAGGGGTATGGGGGTTGGCTTGGAGTAGAAGGATTTATTGGTAGGGATTTGTGGCAGAATGAGAAGGATGGGGGGGATAGTAGACGCGATAATCATACCAAAAAATGGCTTTATGTGGAGGATGCCGACTCTGAAGGGGCGGATGATGTTGGTCACTCTTCCTCATCCTCGCTGGCTTTCCAGAGTGGCCTGGTGACTCTCCTGGTCAGTTTGGGAGTCATTTGGGTCCAAATTCATTTGTTCTTAGACCTCCTTTGCAACCGCCAGTGGTAGCTTTGTCCTGTGTGGGTGATCCATACAGAACGCCTGGGGGCGAGGGTCAGGGGGAAGGTTCTATTGGGGTTGTGGGTTTGACATCTAGGCCAACGATGGATCATCATGGTACGGGAGTGGTGGTTTATTTTAACCCTGGGGGGACCAGTTGCCTGTTCCTGAAGGAGGGCAAATGATTGGGTCCTCCTTTCAGAGTCATGTTGCTTCAATGCAGGTGGATGATGCTGTTAACTTTGTTTCGGTCACGTCTCCTATTAAAGGTCAAATCTTACCTTTAGAGCTTTGGGACAGGATGATCAAGGAAAGGCAGAAAGGAAAGACGAAGTCCTCAATAGGCCTCACACTCTGACTCATCTGCCACTTCCAAGGGTCTTCTCCTGCTAAGCGGGGTCGTAAACGACGTCAATCAACTTCCGGGGGATTTACAGGGGCTCAGATACAAGGAGATAAGAGGTGGAAGGGTATGGTGGGTGCTGTTATGAGTAAAATGACGTCGTTGAGTCCTCCTAGTAGCTTGGCTGGTGTTAATTCCACTTCCTCGGGGGGTTTGGGTGTGCACTTGATAGATTCCTTCAATTCTGACTCTTCCCAGTTGTTCGCTACCAAGATTGCCATGTTGATGGGTGCAGGACGGTTTCATACTTCAGAAACTACTTAAGCTTTGGTTCTCATGACAACGATCACGTCTTAACTTTTGCTTAGGTTTATTTGGAATCGTCTTGTTTGTTCTTCCTTCGTGGTTCTTTTGACGTTGTTATGTTTGTTTGCCTAGAGGTTGGCTTTTCTTGTCAGGACCAAAAAAAAAAAAAAAAAAAACAAACAAACAACAACAACATACCTAAGGGAGGGGTTCTTTCAAAAATACCCTCACCAACCAAGTCGAGGGGTTTTTTTATTTATGCAATTTGTCTAATTGTGTGAATTTAATTAAAAAAATTCTATTTTTTTTCTTTCTTTCTTGAATAATAATACTTGAACTTATATTTTTTGTTACATGCATCACCATATTTTTAATTAAAGAAAAAATAAAAAAAGTAAAATTAATACGTAAAATTCATAATTATGAGTGCAATTACATGTTATTTTTTTCACACATTTCTAGCATAGTTAAATCTTGCAATATTTGTTAAAAAAAAAAAATTTGCAATATTTTTTTTTTCTCATTTTTTTTTTTTTGGTTCTATTCAACCACACAGAGAGAGACAGAGAGAAGCCGCCTACTAGTTTATGCCATTCAATTACTTTTTGTAATTAAAATTCATTTTTGTCAATCTAATTGCTTGATCAAATACCATCTCATATTATATATATATATATATACACACGCATTACATAAAATTTAAAATATAATATAATTAAGATAATAATGGTATATATATATATATATATTTTTTATAAGTTAGATTAATAAATGCAGGCTTCGATGGCTATCGAGGCATGCAAGATAATAATGGTATATGTAATATATAATATGAGCAAAGATATAATATTTGAACTTATATTTACTTACACCCATAAATATATAAATATGTGTAGTGGGGGGTATTTTTGACAAAAATTCAAAAAAGCACCACTCGGTTAGTTGAGGGAGATTTTTTTTGGCAAAAATATAATAAGGGGGTTACTGCAAAACCTTATATTGGATTTAGGAGTTTCTACAAAAAAAAAAAATAATAATAATAAAAAGAAAAAAGAAAAAGAAACATGTCTTTCGAATTAAACCTTAGAAGATCTATTGGTTGACTACCTTGTGGAGTTCAAAAGAAAATTCAATGGAAGTTTAGAAAAAAATCTGATTCTTCCCTCAATTAATAAGAGAGAAGTAAAGTTGTCTATGTTTGAAAATTCTTGAACTATAGTTTGGTGTACATAGAACTTGTGAAGAACTAAAGTTGGGGAAAATAGTTGAGTCACACAAACAAAAAGGATCTTATAAATGCAAAGATAACAATTACTCTGTATCTGTATTAATAAAAGGAAATAATATCAGAATCTGACAAATATTCTTTTGAAAAGGCTGCCACTTTTCCACCACCTCTTTCAACTAGACCATTCTCACCCAAAAGCTAATAGAATCAGTAAGCAATTCCAGAAAGCACCAACTTTAATTCTTATCAATATATAATCATCAATCAAAATAAACAACAAAAACCAAATATTTATTTATTTATTTTTATTTTAACATGTTTGAGAAACATATAGATAAACAGAGGATAACAACACAATCACCACATATGCTATTATTTCACTTGGTTCTTCAAAAAGTTCCTAGATAATATTTAACATCACCACAAGTATTTTTTTCAACTTCCTACATGTATATTTTGGATAAGAGCCAAGAGCTCTAGAGACTTGCCCTTCTTAACTAAATACAAAGCAAATTGAAACACAGAAACACAGAAAATGCTTAATATGGCTTTAAAGAAAGCATACAAAGAAGTAGTGTCACGTGCACATATGGGTTAAAAAACTGCATGGCCATCTGAAGAACTGTAGGAGCTTGGAGGAGGGGCTTTGGAGGCCGGGCTTCCACCGTGACCTTCTCAGTTTTTTGCTTGTCTTCCTGTGATAATTTGTGCAATCATCACTTTCTTCACCAAGTCTCTTAACATCCTAGCTTTGACCTGACCTCTCACAGGAGGGATTTTTGGCTGTCCTTGATTTAGCATCTTGGTTTCTTGATTTTCCATTGTTCAATTGTGTGGCAAAAACTAGAAGCTTTGTAATGAAGCAGAGTAAGAAACAGAGAGACACAGTGCTGCTAGGTTTCTTGTCAACAGGGGTGAAAGAGAGAGTGGGAATCATCATGTGAATACATACATACATACATACATACATATATATATATATATATATGGTGAAGAATATATCTAGATTCACTGTGCTGGGAAGTGGGAACAAATTAGCTGGTCGGTCAAAAGGATTCACACAGTGCGTGGTAGACTTCAAATTCAAATCACACACACATATATCTCATAGAAGATGTTGGATTGAAGTATACAGCTGCCTCCACAGGAATTTTGTCATATGTAGTGTATATATTATTTTTGGAAAGTATATAGAGATAAAAAAACACTAAAGCTGTAGAGGAAATATACAGAGAGGAAAACTTTAAAAGTAGGTTAAATATGGTTGATGGGTACAAAACACCCATCTATTGTAAGAATATATATAATACACATCCCTTGGCATTTTTGGAAGGCTAAAATGGAAAAAACAAATTAAAACATTACTTTATGTCATAGACTTGCAAAAATTAATTTGTGGGGGTATTTTCGTACATTTTTTAAAAATTAAGGGAGATAATAACACACTTTTTAAAATAGGAGTGAAAATGATACGGAGAGTTATACTTTAAGGGTTTTTTTCCACACTAAACCCGTTCCTCTATATATATATATGAATTTATCCTCAATTGAAGAAGAAATCGTAAATTATTTATGTTTTTTACATTATCATCGTCATCCTTACATTTATCCTGTAGAAACGACGGGGATTGCTCTAACGAATAAATGTAGATTCTTTTGGCTTCATCAAGATGTGTATCATTAGACATGAAGAAATGCACTGGTAAATACATTAAATAATGGGCAAATTTTATAAAACCCCCATTACTTTCATTTTTTGATCATAAAATTCTAATATGTTTCTAAAAACCTCTATACTTTTAAAAAGTGTTCACATTGCTCCAATATCCGTATCCGACCTGTTAATTGGGCTGTGAAATGACAAATTTGACTTTACCATTTAATATTAAATTAAAAAATAAAAAAATATTTTTATTAAATTACAAAAACGCCCTTAAATAGTAAGCATAGGCCCACCTGGGTCAACTCAGTTCCTTCAAAAGTCGGTCTCAAACTCACCAAACCAACCCTTATCTGTGTGTGGTGGTCTCTGCATTGGTGAATTGGGGATTGTTGCAAAAAGGATCAAACCAAGACTTCGATACGCACTTGAATCGGCACAGAGACTTTGTGGGGAGTCGAGACAGTATGTCGATCATGAGCTCATCGAGAAGGATTGCGCCGTACGACATTGCCAACTTCACAGAGTGCTTCCCGGTCTGCAATTAGGGCTCGGTGCAGTAAGGGTCTGATCAGTTTGATACTTTTTGTTTGGACTTTGGAATGATCTACTACTCTTCCTTTGTCCAGTACCCTTTGTTATAGTATGTTAGAGGGATCATGTCCTACCTAGGATGGGAAAGACGATCTGTTAGTACATCCCTTGGGCATCACGCAAAGGCCCTTTTTCGTATGTATTTTGTTTTTTGCTTTTCTATGTGGAAAACGGATTCTATACATGCGTATTTTGCCGTTGTTTTATCTTCTTTCTTGACGCCAAAACTTTAGGGCAAACTAAAAAATTGAGACTCAGAAAT